GATTTCATCGTTCTAGGGTGTGTACTACAACAACAAACTTTTTTTTACAAAAAATGTTACTATAGCCGTATATATAAAATGATATATAAGTGCTATCGGACGATCTTGTGCACGATAAAAACCTATATAGAACTTTAAGTTGGAAGTGTAGAAATCGTATGGCATACATTTTTTTCCGGATTTCATCGTTCTAGGGTGTGTACTACAACAACAAACTTTTTTTTTACAAAAAATTTTACTATAGCCGTATATATAAAATGATATATAACTGCTATCGGACGATCTTGTGCACGATAGAAACCTATATAGAACTTTAAGTTGGAAGTGTAGAAATCGGATGGCATACATTTTTTTCCGAATTTCATCGTTCTAGGGTGTGTACTACAACAACAAACTTTTTTTTTTACAAAAAATGTTACTATAGCCGTATATATAAAATGATATATAAGTGCTATCGGACGATCTTGTGCACGTTAAAAACCTATTAAGAACTTTAAGTTGGAAGTGTAGAAATCGGATGGCATACATTTTTTTCCGGATTTCATCGTTCTAGGGTGTGTACTACAACAACAAACTTTTTTTTTACAAAAAATGTTACTATAGCCGTATATATAAAATGATATATAAGTGCTATCGGACGATCTTGTGCACGATAAAAACCTATATAGAACTTTAAGTTGGAAGTGTAGAAATCGGATGGCATACATTTTTTTCCGGATTTCATCGTTCTAGGGTGTGTACTACAACAACAAACTTTTTTTTACAAAAAATGTTATTATGGAAGTATATATAAATTGCTATATAACTGCTATCGGACGATCTTGTGCACGATAAAAACCTATATAGAACTTTAAGTTGGAAGTGTAGAAATCGGATGACATACATTTTTTTCCAGATTTCATCGTTCTAGGGTGTGTACTACAACAACAAACTTTTTTTTTACAAAAAATGTTATTATGGAAGTATACATAAATTGATATATAACTGCTATCGGACGATCTTGTGCACGATAAAAGCCTACATAGAACTTTAAGTTGGAAGTGTAGAAATCAGATGACAAACATTTTTTTCCGGATTTCATCGTTCTAGGGTGTGTACTTCAACAACAAACTTTTTTTTTACAAAAAATGTTATTATGGAAGTATATATAAATTGATATATAACTGCTATCGGACGATCTTGTGAACGATAAAGACCTATATAGAACTTTAAGTTGGAAGTGTAGAAATCGGATGGCATACATTTTTTCCGGATTTCATTGTTCTAGGGTGTGTACTACAACAACAAACTTTTTTTTACAAAAAATGTTATTATGGAAGTATATATAAATTGTATATATAAATTGATATATAACTGCTATCGGACGATCTTGTGCACGATAAAAACCTATATAGAACTTTAAGTTGGAAGTGTAGAAATCGGATGACATACATTTTTTTCCGGATTTCATCGTGCTAGGGTGCGTACTACAACAACAAACTTTTTTTTTACAAAATATTTTATTATGGAAGTATATAGAAAATTATATATAACTGCTATCGGACGATCTTGTGCACGATAAAAACCTATGTAGAACTTTAAGTTGGAAATATACAAATCGGATGGCATAATTTGTTTTGTGGATTTCATCGTTCTAGGGTGTGTACTACAGCAACAAACTTTTTTTACAAAAAATTTGACTATATCCGTATATAGAAAATTATATATAACTGCTATCGGAAGATCTTTGCACGATAAAAACATATATAGAACTTTAAGTCGGAAGTGTAGAAATCGGATGGCATAATCTGTTTGAGATTTTAGGTAGGGTCAACTGTGGACCGACCCTTACAAAATTCAACAGATAAATTTTGTTTCATTTAAGCCAGTTATGAGTGGTAGTAATTTCCCGAGGTGGACCTTATATCGGGGATAGGTTAAATTATGGACCGATCCCCTTAAATTTGACAAAACGATGTTGACTCCTTGTTTATGTGGAATTTCTTTGCTATATTGGTATTTTTATTACAATTATTGGAGTTAATATCTTTTTCTGAAGGGGAACTTATATGGGGGTAGGATCAATTTTGAACCAACCCAGAAAGGTTTTGGATCACATAAATCTTGTAAAATAATTTCCTGATCCTCATAAAATTTGTCAAAAAGATTTTAGTTCCTATAAAACTTGTTTTTGTCGTTTTTCTTCGCTATACTGGAATATTGAAGCTCAATAATAAACTCCATCAACTAAAAATATTTTGGCAAATATTGGCTAAGATCCTAGTCTATACTTTTATGGATTTTAGACCAATATTTCGGTGTAAAAGTTTCTTGGCTCCCTGATGAGTTTATCGTATAGCGATATTGTCCATTTTCAATAACAAACTCAATCTTAGACTGTAAAAAGATCCCAGCATATACTTTTATGGATATTAGACCAATATTTCAATGTGTTACAAACGGTGTAAAATGTTCCTTGACTCCCTGATGGGTTGTGTCTTCCAAGTGGTGATTTAGCGATCTTGAAAGTGACGGAACTAATAGGGAATCACATTGTTCGCCGGTCTCTGGTAAGATTTTAGGTTGATAGTCGTGCTGCACTTAAAGCATTAATATGTCATAGCTGTATTCTTGCATAGTCGTAGAATGAAGAAAAGATCTAAGTATTATTATGAGACCGTTTACAATAAGGCTGTGTTGGGTACCAGGACCCTGCAATATACACAAATGAGGTATCTGGCGAACTGATACGATGAAGCTCGAATCTTGTCCCATATGAACGGAACAAGAAGTTAAAGCCACCCCTTTTTCATTTTTTAGGTTGATCTCCGATGGATTCCGTGACTCTTTCAACCATTCATGGAATATAGAATGAATTGCACATTATATATGGCCGTTTTAAAAATACTTGATTCTAATGAAACCGGGATTATTATTGGGGTAGATGGTGTACACCAAGAACACTTGCACTGGCTATAAAACATTATTAAAATACATCAATTTTTCTTAGCACAAAATAAATATGTCTAGTAATTTGTTTTTGTTTCATTTGTTTGCGTTTTTACAGAAACTCACCACACAACAATCAAAAACAGCTGTTAGGGTTTGCTGTTTTATCAAAAGGTTGTTTTATTAACGGGTATACTTTTTGTCGAAAAAAGTCGAAAAGTCGAAGTCGACTATTTTGTTCCAAAAAAGTCGATAACTCGACTATAGTCTATGAAAAAAGTCGACTTTGTAAATAAAAGTCGAAAAGTCGGAAAGTCGAAAAAAGTCGATAAGTCGAAAAAAGTCGAAAAGTCGAAAATAGTCGAAAATTTTAAAAAAAGTGGAAAAGAGGTCAAAAACTCTAAAATAGTCGGAAAAACTCGAAAAAAGTAAAAAAGTAGTCGAAAAAAGTCGAAAAAAAGTCGAAATAAGTCGAAAATAGTCAAAAAGTCGTAAAAAATCTAAAAGTCGAAAAAAGTCGGAAAAAGTCGAAAAGTCGGAAAAAGTCGAAAAGTCGGAAAAAGTCGAAAAGTCGGAAAAAGTCGAGAAGTCGAAAAAAGTCGGAAAAAGTCGAAAGGTCGAAAGGTCGACCATTTATAAAATACTAAAAGTCGAAAAGTCTAAAAGTCGACTTTTAAATAAATGAAAAAGGTCGAAAAGTCGAAAAATCGACTTTTCATAAAATGGAAAAAGTCGAAAGGTCGAAAAGTCGACTTTTAGCTAAATGCAAAAAGTCGACTTTTCGTTTCAACTATAGAACCCTAATCAGTGGTACCAGACAAACAATTATAAAACAAATCAGAGATTTGTTTTTTAAAATATGAATTAACATTGCTACAAATTTTCAACTGAGTTTCAAATACAAGGCGTAAATCAACTATTAAGGTGGAAGTACACAACACGCGTTTTACAAGCTGCAAGTTACACACCACGCGTCATTTTGATCTTTCTTTTAATGTTTTTTAAGACTATTACTGTTTTAAAAATCAAAATTAAGTTTTTGTTTATTTTTTAATATTTTTCTTTCATTGTAGGTGAAATTTATTTCATTTTAGTTTATTATTATTCTACACAAAACAATATACAACCCTGATCAGCTGCCGTTGAAAGTTGCTGAACTTTTCGCTGCAGACGCGTTACAAACTACAGTGTGTAACTTATTAAATGAAAATACACTATTTCAACTTTTTTTGACAGAAGCCTATAACTCGTACAACGCGTGTTATGTACTTTCATCTTTAAGATGAAATAATATCAACAGCTGATTGCTCTTTTGATCATGAAAATTTATCCCGAAGCTGTCAAACTCCATATAAAAAAATTCTCTCAAAACTGACGCTGTCAAACTCCATATTACAAAAATTTCATGAATTCGAAGCAAAATGAAATAACTTCACCTTATAATCTCTACGCCTTGGTATAAATTAAAAATATATGCATATTTTTTTGTAATTTATTAAAGTTAATATATATATGCTTATTATACTAAAATCACAAAATTCCTTCAAATAGTTTTTTCCACGCTAAATAGGGTTTAAAATCGCTAGATTAAAAATCTCAAATTAAACATCACTGTCTGTCAGGGAAGGTAAAGTATGTGTAATTGTACTTTTTTTGGTACAATTTCGGTCAAATGTATGTACATATGAATATCAAACAAAATTTTTGATTTTTGTAAGAAAAACCAAAAAATTGGCCAAGCTTTTCAAAATCGTATAAGTTTTTAAAACTTAAGTAAAATACACCGGCACTTATTGCACTAAATGTCTTAAAATCCATTTTTTTGCAAAACTTGAAAGGCCCGATTCGTCGTTGTTCGAATGACTTTTTTTAGGAAAAAAATGTCAGTTCAAATATGATCGACTTAAAATGTTTGTGTTTCAATTACATTAATCATACATTAATATAAAATCAGTAATAAGGCATAATTACGGTCGTAAAAGTACTGTTTTTGATGCTGTTTAGTACATATTCAAAATTTCATTTGCCATCACTGCTGTCAATATTGTAGTTTTTTTTTCAAACGTCAGTTTCTTTTCAACAAAGCTCTCATTCGCTTGTTTTTTTTAATTGTTGAAGATAAAAAATATTACGGAAAAATACTTGAAGAATTGCAAATAAATAAAAAAAAATCATTTAATTAATTTCACAAACGTGTAACGAAAATTGTTTATTGTAGTTTTTCTAACAAAAACAAACTTTTTAAAAAACACGCTAGAACAAAGTAATAGCAGCAACAACAACTACAGCACCACAACAAAAATGAGAAGATAAAAACAAATCAAAAGGAAATACAACAACATTCAAGCTTCCCCTTTTTTGATGTATTGATTAATTTTTCATTATTGAGTTAAAAATTGTTAAAAAAGGGAATCGTAAAAATCAAATTTAAAAAATATATAACAAACACGGAAGTTAAAGATATAAAAATTCGTCACACAAGTTAATAAGAATATAATATATTTATGTATGTATGTACACAAATAAATAAATGAATGCAAGTGCTAACAAAGAAATTAAAAAAAATAGTATAAAAGTGTAAAAAATATGGAATTTGAGACTCCCTTGCTGGCAGAAACATCGAATATAGTTGGTAAGTTAGTTAGTTACCTTGAAAAATTTAATTAGATACATAGTTTTATAAAAAATGTAATAGAATTATATTTACTTTAAATAACTAATTACTAATTTGTTCTTTGGTTTTGTTTCTCTTTCGCTGTCTTATTCGCCCTTATATTATGTACATATGTATGTTGTGTATTTGTTGTAGATGTAAGCGAAAAAGAACTTAATGTAAATTTTAATACGCTTTTAACATCGTCATTATCGTCACCTCAAACATCGTTAGAAACAATAGCAATGTCGTCATCGACATCACCAACGACATCGTCATCATTTACCCAACAAAAACGTCAACAACAACAACAGCAGCAACAATTACAACAGCAACAGGATCAACAACAGAACCAGCAGCAGTATGATAAACCACCGAATCTTAAAAAACAACCCATGTCTGCTGCTGAACGTTCAGCGACCAAAAAATCTCTAATTATTTTAGCTGGAATTTTTGCAACCTCATTAGCAGCAATGTTTTACGTTTATATGATATTCCCTCAATTGGATGAGTAAGTTGCTATTCTTATTATTGTTATTTATTTTACTTCGTACATTTTCTTTTCACCATGTCAAATAATGTTAATTTTTTAAGTCTAATCTTTTGTAGGTATACAAAGATTTTTTACAATGCAAACAAATATTTTTACTTTAGGAACCGATAGATTTATAAGTTCGCCTTTCTTTAACCAAAGTTTAAATTTATTATGTACGTATCTGATATATGCATAGTAGCGACTAATCATTGTTTTTTAATAATTTGTGGACTCATTTAGATATTCATGTTTTCCGAACTATTGTTCTAATCTAAGATTTTTGGCCTATATGACTATATAATCAGAATTTAAAATCATAAAATAACGTCCATAAAGTAAATTTTCCCAGTATTTTATCATATACCCTATTAATACCGAATAGAATATTAAAAATGTTTAATGAAATAGAACCAAAATGGTTGTTTAGGTGAGGGTTATACATATGTATATTATTCTAATACTATATACGGAAACACACTACAATATCTTCCAAGTTTAAGAAATTATAAAATAAAAATTGAGTTCAGAAATGTCCATATTGTTTACGTCTGCTTTATAATTAAAATAATAAGAAATACAGTACAACAAAAAATTATTTTAAATTTGTTTGTTCAGCTGTTTTAATTTTAAAGTTTAGTTTAAATTTTATTGTTTTCGAATTATCACAAAATATCAGCGTGATGGTTGGAAAATGACATCAAAATGTTAAAGCCGTTTTACTCAAAACTATATAATTTTTTTTTGAGTTATGGCCCTTTAGTAATAAATAAGCGATATTTCTGTTAAAACTGTTTCATCTAATATACAATTAATTTAATGCCTGTTAATTAATTTAAAGGATTTTAAATTTTAATTACAAAAATTTGGTCACTTAAGTTTTCATCTATTGCAATCAAGTGCAAATTATATTTAAAACCAACAATGAAAGCACAAAATCGTATGTTTTCTCAAGTTCAATGTGAAATTGAAAGAAAAAAAAGTTTACAGATACGATGTTTATTACGTTTTTGTGTTTGATCTCTCTCACCCCTTACTTATTTGAATTACGCTTCACCGTCTACTGCCAACAACATCTCGTCGTTGTCGTCGACAATAACAAAAATTATTTGTATCTAAGATCGTTGTTGCAGTTGGCAACTAAATGCACATTTAAGCATTCTTAAAATGCCAACTTGTCTGTTTGTCTAACAATTGTGGGAATTAATATAAAAATTAAGTGAAATAAAATAAAAAAGCCATAATGAGGAAAATATTAAACGAATTTATTAAGAAATATGAGGCAAATATTACAAAAAAAAAAAAACCTAAAATTGGAAAATAATTAGTTAGGAATATGCATTAAGGGTATGGAATAAATATATGTTATTACAAAATATTAGATTGATGATACAAAAAAAACTTGTCTTTTCCTCACTAGAAGAAAATTTTATATTGCATAAAGACCTTTAGTTTCGAATATATTAAGTACTATAACTTGTCTCTTTAAATTTAACACCCTTTGTTGACAATCCCTGTAAACATTTGGCAAGACATGATCACAACTGCATACTTTCTAATTAGGAAAAATATGTATATTAAAAATTAAGTTTTTATTGCAACTGTTACAATTCATACGATTTGTTGAAATTATGAAATGTATTTAAAATTAAATATTTTTAATTGGCTTTTGGCATATTTAAATGTTAAAACTAAATTTTAAATAGTTTGTATTTTAAAAACTTTACAATAAACAAATAATTACTAAGTAAATTAAAAATTATACACCTGTATAGAAATGCTTTTGTATTTTTCTATACAATTTAATTTAAATGGGGGTTTTTTTGTTTTACTTTTTTATAACAAAAATTACGAAATTTATTTTGAACGGTGATTTTTTGTTTGTTTTTTATTAAATCACACCATACGTGTAGTATAGATGTACCTACATATGTATGTATAAATATTTCTTTATTTTTTATTGTGTGTGTGTCTAGTATTTAATATAAAAACAGACTTTACTGGCACAATTTACAATAAAATATGTAGAGAGAAAAATGGCAAGTTAAACACAATAATAATAATAATAATAATAATGTTAAACAAAAGTATTTAACAGATGCGTAGCAAATTTATTAAACTATTTTTGTTTGTTTTTATTAATAATAATTGATAAATTTGATGAATTGATAATAATAAAACCAAATGTTTAAAGTTCGCTTAAGCGGAACTTGGTCGGACGAAATTTTGTTTAGAAAATTAATAAACTATTAATGATAAGAGTGGGATCCCTGAAAATTAAAAATTAATTATATCGGCATTGACCCATAATGAAAAAATACAAAGAATAATAATAATAATAGCTATTTGCTACATTTTTCTCATTCAGAATAGAATCTAATTTTTCGCGTAAGTTTGCTTTCGTTTTAATTGCAAGTAACTGGCCCTTTCCATTATGCAATTACATATTAGACAATTTTAAATAAACTTTTTGCTATACATAATTTATGTAAAATCTATCGCATTTTATACAAAACAGCTGTTATTTTGTTGTTTGCAATAAAACTATTATAGTTTCTTCATTAACTTTTGAATAATTCATTAACTGATTGATTAAACACAAGCAATAGTTAGCAAATACTTCAGATAACTTAGTTACTTACTTGCAAGTAAATATATTTAATTTTGAACTATCCAAATTTATTTAAATAATAAAAAAATCTATTAATAGCAAATAATACAGATAAAATAATAATGGTATACGTATTCATTCCAACAAATTCCTTGATACTATAAGCATTCTTCAATAGCACAATAAACTACGCATCTGTTTTGTTAACATTGAATATCCAAGTGTATGATTTATTTATTATTAACAAATACCACGTTTAATAAATAAATGTATAAAAATACATGCGATATGTTGATTTCCTCTTGGTTTGAAGTACATATTAACAAAATAAACAAAAAACACAAACAAATCCCCTTGTAATACATTTTCTCTTTTTCTCTCCCTCTCAGATTTCGCGAATCTCAACTTGTAGTTAGTTGTATATTTTCTTAATTTACATTTGATTAATTGTACTGTCCATGTTAATAAAAAGATTTATTTTTCTTTTTTTTTTTACAGATCTGAAAAGCAACACATGAAAATTCCACGTGACATACAAGACGCTAAAATGTTGGCCAAAGTATTGGATCGCTACAAGGACATGTACTATTTTGAAGTCATGTTTGGTGTGATTGTCGCTTATATATTGTATCCTTTTTTAAAAGCAACACAATTTTTTTCGTTTTTATTTAAGTTCAATAACTTTGAGTTTTTGAACAGGTTTTGATTTTCTTAAGAATATTTGTTTTTATCTGTTGTTTTTAAGGTGGTTCAATAGCCTTATGTTGGACCTTTTGATTGAGCTTGATAAGAATAATGTTTTGTATATTACAAACTTGGCCATTACACAATTATTATCATAAGTTCCGTTTTTAGCTGTTGTCTCCATTCTTTTAATCTGATAAGATTATTCAATTTAATTCTATTAACTTTTTAATAATATCATCAAATATTATTGTTTGTATTAAATTAACCTTGACCTCTTTTGATGTCGGTTTTCGTTTAGTTGTATGACTGTTGTTTGTAAATACAAAAAAATACATGCATATTATGTTTTCAAAGCACATATTGTGTTACTGCCAAATCACAAAATGTCACGTGAACCCACATACAAAAACCTCATCGCTTTTTGCAAGCTTCTCGTATAAGTTTTTAATTAGCATACAATATTTAATATGACGTATTAATATTGTTATGATGTCATGTATTGTATTGACAATAATATAATAAGAATATTAAACTTTTGAATTGACAAAATTTTAAGACAATGTTCATATAGTTCATATGTAGAGTGTTGGCAATTCGTTTAAGTTATACATATAAATTTCTATCATTATAAATATGAGAGTAAAAGTATTCTTTCTCATTTTGTTATTAATACTACATATTACTTTATATTGCCCCACAATTCGTATGTTTAATGACGTATACGTCTTTATGGGTTTATTGTTAATAAATTTTATTTCTGTTTTTATATTTCTACTGAAAAACATCGTACACGTATTGAACTTTGTTGCTTGGTAGTAGTTCGTTCATTAGATTAATATATTTTATCGCATGACTAGTACGTAGTTTATACATAATGATAATAATAATGTATGTAGTGGCAAATGGTTTGTTATCTACATCCATATCTATGCGAATAATTCGCTGGATTTTTAACCCGTTTACCGAGAAAAATTTGTTATTTTTACCAAAAATTTTTTGAGTGTTATATTTGACTATGCCGAATCTTATATACCCACCATCAAACCATATGCCGTAAATGGAATACTCCCCCATAAACGTTAGGTTGATATTTGAAATAGGGCTTGAGTCATTTATGGACACATCCCTTTCGGATTACCAAAATATTAATTTTTAAAAACAAAATATTTTTGTCCAACTTTTAAGCCATGAATATTTATGGGCGTTTAATCGGGGTCAATTATTAAATTCGGTAGATAGATTTCGGCTTGTAAGAAACTTACTTCAGTAATTTTCTGAGGGGAGTAGTGTCAATTGTGGACCGATCCTCATAAAATTGGGTAGAGAGATTTTAACTCATAATAAACTTGCTTATGTCGAATTTCATAGCTATACTCTTATTATTAAGGCAGTAATGAGCGTTAAAGTAATATTCTGAAGGAGAAATTATATCGGGGGTAGGGTAAATTATGGACCGATTCTCATAAAATTCGGTAGATAGAATTTCAGATTTATTTATATCGAATTTCAGCGTTTTTTAAGACAGTAATGGGCGTTAAAGTAATTTTTTGTAGTGGACTATATATGAGGGATAGGGACCGATCCTCATAAAATTTGGTAGAGAGAATTTGGTTCATATTAAACTTATTTATGTCGCATTTTTAAAATAGGTCTGACTGTTAAAGCTGTTTTTCGGAGGGCCAATTGTATGGGGCTATGCGAAAACGTGGACCGATATTGTCCATTTTTAATGGACAATATTACCTATTATAAATATTTGTGAAAAATTTAAACTCTCTAGCTCTTTCCGTTCGGACTCCATCAACATTTCAACAGACAGACGGACATGGCTAGATCGTCTTAGAATTTAATAAGCATCCAGCATATATATACTTTTTGGTCTATGATCAATATTTTGATGTGTTACAAACGAAATGACAAAATCAATATAACCCCATCTTTTTTGATGGTGGGTATAAAAAAGTTCGGATGTGCCGAATCTAATATACCTTTCACCAGGATGTATTCAAACACAGCAATACGATTTTTATTATAAAAAAAAAAAACAGTTTAAAACGAAACAGTATTAGAAGTTCTTCTTTTATAGATTTTCATTCAATCAGGGCGCTGCGTGCTTAATTTTCTATGTTTCTAGATTTAATGTTAAAAAATATTCAAAATATATTCCATATTGACGAACGAAAAAGTATCAAAAATTCCCTTTTTATATGTTTTCATTTGGGGCTCTATATGATTAATTTCATGTTTCTAGGTTCAATATTATAGAAAATTCAAAAAGTACCTTTTGAAGAACGGAAAAGTACCAAAAAATCCCATTTTATAGGTTTTAATTTACTCCGAGCATGATTAATTTTATGTTTCTAGGTTCAATATTATAGAAAATTGAAAAAGTTCCTTTTGGGGAACGAAAAAATACTAAAAAATCCCGTAAAATTTTGAATTTTTAATACAAATTTGAATTATTAATCAAAATTTGAATTTTATTAATAAAAAAAATGGATTTTTATAAAAATTTAATTTTTAGATTTTAGTCAATTTGAATTTTTAATAAAAATATTAAATTTTCATTAAAAACTAAATTTTTAGTAAAAAAAATTAATTTTTACTTTTAGGAAAACAATAATTAAATTCTCTCACGCCCTAAACTTTGGTTTTCTTTAATCAAATTGATTCAATTTCAGCCTTCAAACTTTTGCCATTCCAGGATCTTTGTTTCTTTCCATTTTACTTGGATTTCTATATCGTTTTCCCGTTGCACTCTTTCTAATATGTTTCTGTTCATCACTTGGCGCAACTCTCTGCTACTGCTTATCGAATTTGGTTGGACGTCGCTTGATAAGACACTTTTGGCCGAAAAAAATCAGTGAGTGGTCAAAGCATGTGGAGAAACATCGTGACAGTTTATTCAACTACATACTGTTTTTGCGTATGACACCAATCCTACCCAATTGGTTTATAAATCTAGCGTCTCCTGTTATTGGAGTGCCCATGGTTACATTTGCTTTTGGAACATTTTGTGGAGTAGCGCCACCTTCAGTGTTGGCCATACAAGCCGGAAAAACTTTACAAAAAATGACTAGTTCGAGTGATGCTTTCTCGTGGACCTCAATGGGTGTTTTGACACTGTGCGCTTGCTTGTCGCTGGTGCCAGGGCTATTAAAAAATAAACTAAAAAAGAAAATAGAATAAAGTCCCAGCACAAAGATGTGTATACATGAACGGCGACTGATGATGGAAGATGAAGAAAATAATTGCAAATGTGAAAGTTGAAAAGAAAAAAGCTAAAGGAGTGCTAAATTGAAATACATACATACATGTTTAGTGAATGTTGTATTATTTGGAATATTGTCTAATACATATAAAACAAAGGAGTGATTTATTTAAGTGTTTTTAAGTATGCAATAAATTTAAATTAATTTTTGTTTATTTTCACATTTAGTTCATCTTTCTTTAAAAACAAAAGCTTATTCCAAATGTAAACAAATTATTTTATTTTATAGATAAATATTTACAGCAATAATATAGATTTAATTTGAATTAGTAACATGTATATGGAGGCCGTTAAAAAACATACAGGGTATTTAAGGAAGATCGATCAGATGCCTACAGTTTAAATGTGTTTTATATATTCAAAACTAATTAGATTTCAAAAAAGACACTTATTTTGTTTTCAAAGATATTTTCTAAAATATTGTTTTATTTAACACTTTTTTGCTTGTTATAGTTTCAAAAATTTTCAAATAAATTTAATTTACAATTTTATAATTTATTATTTTGCAGTATTTAAACTATTAATTTAATTCCATTATATTTAAATAAATTGTTTTGCTATGCCCCTCTACTTTTATCCCTTTTATTAATTTTGTTTCATTAGTTTATATTTATAATTATAAAAAATATACAACTTTGCCAATATTATAATTATTATAATTTCGTTGTAGTTAGTTTTATACAAAAAAATATAATTATTTATATACATAAAAAACGATAAATATATTAATTATAAACACCAATAATTAGTTTTTTTAAAATTTGTTTTTTTTTTAATTTTATTCAAAAATTTATATGTACTTTATACGCTATATGTCATTAAGCTAAAAGGTCAGTGTTGTGATCACAGCTAGATGAAAAAGTTCGGGCGAGTTGATTTGAAGAATAGTTTATTGAGATTTAAGAACTAAAATGCGTTTGTTTTAATAATCATTACTTTAAAACCATTACGATTAAAATGTGTTGGGCCTGTATACCTGTAATTTTAAGTTCTGAAGATTACTACATATGTTGTAGGTTTGTACATATTGTCACCTACAACGCAAACGGCCCTAACTAACCAAAAATTTAAACCCGCCTTTTTAATTGATTATAATGTGGACTTCTCCGACCAAAATCAGTCATTTTATTATGAAAAAACGGCCCTATCTCATCAATTTTTCAAAATGTTAAATAGGTCCCTTTGCGTTTTAGTAACGCCATATAAAAATAATAGGTTATATTAATTCTGGTTAGAGCAGAAACAGAAAATATCAAAAATTATAAAAAAAAACATTGTACTGTAATACATACAAAGCCTTTCAATTAGAATTTGAGTACTGAAACAGACCAGATATAAATAAATATAAAAAATTGCATATTACACACGCACAGTTTAAATATGTGTACATAGATGTATTTATAAAAAATAAAAAACTAAAATTGAATACTACTAATATTTAGGGTATTCATAGTCTCATTTGAATGTTATATAAGGATCCTATTATTGATGTTTTTAAGTAATAAATTATTAAAGGTTTGAAAAAATTGGTACTATATTATTTCAACAAAGCACGTAAGTTTTTAAGTAATTAACAAAGAACAAATTGATTTTGAATTTTGTTAATTAATAAAAATAGTTTTGAAATTTATTTATCTTTTTTGGAATTATTGCATAGGTTGGAATTAGTTTTCATATTGAAAACATACATATTTTTATATCGAAGTTTGGTTAAAAAAATCTAAATTCTCAAAAATGTACCAAAACTCTAAAAGCAAAATTACGATACATTTTACTCAATCAGGCATTCACTAATTCAGCCTACGATTGTTTTTCAGGGACGTTTTCTTAATTTTAGATGTCTAATTCCCAGATAACACATTTCGGAATTAATAAAAATTCCATTTTTTTTTAAATAATATGTACACAATTTATGAGTTTTGCAATAAAAAAGTTATATTTATTTCCATTAAAGTTTAGACAATTGCTCTTCTCTTTTTTATAGTTTCTGCTTGTTTAATGATTTTCAAACACAGATAATCGGTTCTATCTATGGTAAATGTATGTATATTTAAAAATACGAATGAGTGATACAAATTTTTGCAATCTAAATTACTAAAGAAAATTTAAATAAAAAATACCTAAAAAATATATATTACTTTGGAATGGAATACACATATATCATAACTTCTATTGTAAGAATAAATTGCGATTTTGTTTTTTTTAAATTCGAAATAACATTATGTTTTCAAATATCAATCAATCATCATTACATTACCATCAACATGTTTTACAGCTTAAACTAATTTGGTTAAAAGCTAAAAATGAAAATGGTTGAAGTACGTACATTAATTTATTAAAAAAGAAAAAGCTAAGCAGACTTTTGAATACAAAATGCTGAAATGGTTCGAGAAATGGAATTATCATTCTTGATTTCTTTAAATAATAGTAAACTTAAATAGTAATGTAATTAAAAATTTAAATATAAATTTGCAATGCAAATTTTAGCATAAGGAAACTTTGTTTTTTATAATTTGTATAAGGGATGTGTTGAAAAAAATCTAAAAATGGATTCTTTTCATATTTATCATAATATATAGCAAAATGACTGGTAAAATAAAAAAAATAATTATTATATAGAATGGTGCTGCATGTGAACGTAATTATAATAGTTACAATGTGTTGAAACGGAAGTAACTTGTTGAGAAGGGACAAACTATTAACCAAACTATTCTGATGGTGTGAGATCGCGTTCCTGTTCATTTTCATTGAGTATTTGAGACAACAAGTCATGTACCGGTTCAAAGACCTTTTTGGCTCCTGTGTTTGTAAGATTCTTATAATCGAACATGTCATGATGACTAATTGAATCGTCCATCTGCACTAGACCTTTTGCAATGTCCACGGTTTGTACACGATTAAGACCCACAACTTTCTCTTTAATAAGACTATTGACTTGAGCATTTTTATCACGTAATTTATTCGGTTGGTGACCACGAGGTAGTAAAGACTGCAAAAAAAAAGAAATTACAAAAAGAAAGAATTGTTATTAAGAGAGCGCTAAGAGGGGAGGGCACAAATGTTTGACTAAACGCACAGGTAAGACGATATAAGCATCGGGTAATTTTGAACGTATTCTCTGTATAATCTCATATATACCATCAGCAATTTCTTCCGGTTTATTGTCCACATTATTGGTGCCAACATGTAAGACTACAATTTTTGGTTTAACATTATCTAATTCACCGTTCTCTACACGCCACAACACATTCTCGCAGCGATCTCCACGTATGCTGAAGTTAAGGCAGTGCATAGGTGCAAAATAATCATGCCATGTTTCCGTGTCCTGCAATGTTTCCAATATGCAGTCACCTAAGAATATGACATCAGGGTCCTTTTCACGACATTCCGAAATAAAACGTTTGTGTATGCTACAATGGTAACGGCAAAATACGAATGATTCATTCACAGATTAATTGAAAAAGTTTAGGAAATTTAGAAAATTTAGCAAATTTTTTACCTTAACCATCTATCATCGCCTTCATTGTCTTTTCTTTGGGTGGCGACCGTACAAGGATTCATCTCGTCTTCTTTCTCGTCTATCGTATTGTGTAGTCAAAGGGCGTTGGGTTTATGGCTTTATACGACTTAAGTGGGATTAAAAAACTTTAGAAATAATTTGCAATAAATTAAAAGAAATTTTTAGTAATTCTTTTTTTTTTTTGCAAGCTGACGACAAAAATGACAAAATCACAAATTCTTCTTTTTCTTCCAGATGTTACTGGTTAATCACAGCAACTTGATAACACATAAATTTTGCAATTTACAGTAAAAATTCGATATGGTATTCATTTGATTAAATTGTATATACAGGGGTTAGGTACATATTTGGGTTTCACTTAAAATTAGTACAAATTCTATTAACAGTATTTATTTCGAAATATAAAACAGACAAAATGTTAAACAATTTTTTAGTAAAAAATATTAAAAATAAGGAATTATTTTATATCGAGGGACTATATTCAATAATCTCTATCTGCCGGTCCACACTAAGAAACTTTTTTTGGGAAACTTTTGATTTTGCGTGAGAGAGAAAGAATATCATTCATATCTCTCGCGGTACGGAGTTTCTCGTACTCGGAAACTTGTTTTGTTTTATTATTCTTCTCATTCGTACAACAACAAATCAATGCAGTTAATACGTAGTTTCTGAAACAAAAGTTTCTATATGTGGACATTAAGGAAACTTCAAAAGAGAATTAAGAAAAAGTTTCTCAACAAAAGTTTGCTAGTGTGGACCAGGTCTATCTGTCATTTTCATGAAAATAAGATTTTGATGGCAAAATATCCAGCAAACTATCCCGCATTACTGACATAAATTTCAAAGAAAAAAATATTTTTTTGACAATTTTATAAAAATTTTTACATTTCTCTATAAAAATTTTGAATACAAAACTCTCTATCTTATCCAAAAATTTCTTCAAACTCTATTATTTGTGATAATTTTCTGTTGCAAAACAAGTGTTTTTACTAATTGCTGTGCACAAATCCGCCAATGTATTTAAAATCGGTTTAATAGTTTTCGAGATATCGCTCATTAATTAATTAATTTGATTAATTTTATTGCCGTGTTAAACCATATAACATTGATTTTGGACCAAAACCTTATAATCTGTTGCGTTTTCAACAATTTTTCTATTACTTCATTAAATTGCATAAAATATATTTATTGATATTAAATCAAATAAAAAATTTATATTTCTATGAAAAAATCTCTATCTGAAGGTTTAAAAAAAAAATTAGTAGGAAAAAGCTCTATCTGATACAAATTTATGAATAATTTTGCAAATATAAAGATTTAGAATATGGGCGTAGAAATATATTGTAGAAGAAGAAAAAATTCAAAATACTTCACGAACTAGCGAAATAAAAAGTTGTTTTGCTCTCCTGAAAACTTGTATTATTTAAGATAGAGATTATTGAATATAGTCCTTCGATATATAGTCTAAACATAAAATGTGTTTTTTTTTGGAATTTTTTTTTTGAAATATTGTTTTTAATTTGAAATGTGTATTGTATTCTGAAAATACTTTTATAAAGCATTGATAACTTAATTTGTCGTTTATGAATATGTGAAATGAATTAATGTTTTTTCTGGTGTAGACACTGCCAATGACATTTGACAACTTTTTTTCAAAATATGGCAGCACTTTGATTCTCTATTATTTGGCAATACAAAAAAAGTTGATTATTTTAATAAAAAAGGAATATATTGTACGAAAAAATCAATAAGGATTCATAAATTCTCCAAAGGAAATTCAAACAATAGCGTCATTATGAGCACTATTAGCCATAAAAATTTACAAGAGCTATGTCGTGCCTGTCTAAGAACCCTAAAACATAATAATCTAAATACAAACGAAAGCAATAATGTTGCTGGCGAAGGTGGTGAATGTGATGCTGGGCCATCTAGTTTAAATAGTCTATTATTACCAAATTTATGTAAATTGTTTATGTTTCTAACCACCTATGATGTGAATAAGGAATATGATGACTTTCCCAAACGATTATGTGAGTGGTGTTATGGTCGTCTTTTGGATTATGATGAATTCCGTAAGTTGGCTGTAAGAAGTACAGAAATGTTATATGAACAATGGAATGCTAGCAGAAAGGAAGAAGAAACATTAAATGAAGACAATGTAAATGCAAAACCATGTAATCAACTACTCCAAAGTATTAAGCATGAGGAGGAAAATGTTGAGGAGAATGATGATGATAAATTGGTAAGAGAGGGGCATAATGGAGAGGGCATTATATGTGGCAATGTTTGTAAAATGTAATCGGTTTCGGGACGAGTTTAACCTCTGTCCGCACGTATTTCGTAATTTTATAGGTACTATAATTTCCAAAATAATATAAGAATGGAGATAAATACATTATAGGACCTACTATGGTGTAGGGTTTTATATGCTTAGACATTCAAGACTATATTTCTTTACTTGGTTTTACCCAAATTCGTTTTGTTTTAAATTGAAATAATAAATTTTCTAATTTTTTAGCTTTTACCCGAATTGGCCAATATGCCTTTGTATATTAAACCTGAACCAACTTTTGAGGCCATGGATACCCAGTTTATTCTACCATCGTACATTGAGGAAGGTGAAGTTGTTAATAGAGATCAAATGTCATATGAGTCTTATGATACAGAAGAAGATGCTGACGATGAAGAGTTACTGTTACCAAATGGAGCTGCTAATAACTCCAGTCCTTCAATTAACAGTTCTGATGGCAAGGTGGTACTCTCTAAAAGAGATCGCGACAGAAAGTCGTTACATTGTAATGATTGTAATAAACAGTTCTATAAGCAAGTTTATTTGGATGCACATGTACGCGGAACGCACTTGGGTCAGGAGAAACCATTTCAATGTTCAAATTGTACCAAAGCATTTACACGTTACAATCAATTATTTCTGCACATTAAATCCAAGCATATTGAAATGCTTTTCCGCTGTGATTATGAAAACTGTGATGCCTCTTTTACAGTTGCCGTCAAATTGAAGATGCATCGTCAAATTGCACATAATTCTTCCGAAGAACTTAATACTCAAGACTACCAAGAAGAGGACGAAGCTGAAGCGGAACCGCAATTATTGGAACTGGAAGTGGATCATATTTGTTATTTGTGTCGACGAAAATATAGTTCTAAACGTGCGCTCAGAGAACATATCAAGAGGCACAAAAAGATTAAAGAACACGTTTGCCAAGAGTGTGGAGTGGCTAAAGTTACACGAACCGAGTTAGTGACCCATATGCGTACACATACACCCAACTTGGAGAAATTTCCCTGTCCTCAGTGTCCTCAAGTATTCAATCATAAAAATGCAATTTCACGTCATGTCAAAGTAATCCACGAAGGTCTCAGGCGCTTTCCCTGCAAGTATTGCCCCAAACGTTTTGGTACACGTAATTCTCAGGTGTGTCATGAACGTTTACATACTGGCGAACGACCATTCATTTGTGAAATCTGTCAAAGGGGTTTTGTTCAACCGGAGGGTCTTAGGTCTCATATGAAAAATCATGATAAAAATTTACGCAAACATGTCTGTAAATATTGTTCACAACGTTTTATAACATTGAAGAATTTAGTGGATCATGAACGGCGTCATTCGAGCGATAAACCTCATATTTGTAATATATGCAGCAAAGGTTTTTATAGTGAAACAGATTTAAAAAATCATCGCAGCACACACTTAGAAGCTGAACTCGGCTCAGATCAACAAGACGAAATTGCTGTTCAAAACGAATCAGAAACATTTTTATAAAATTAAAAAAAAAATATGTTAAACTATATTATATCATTTACTTCAAGAGGGTCCTAAGTAAATGTCGAGAAAAACTATTTTTAAATCATTTGATTAATCTTCTGCACTATTTACAATTAAAAAAATATATAACACTGAAAAATTATAAAGACGGAAACTAAAAACAAATTTTTAGTTAGAACACCTTTTGAAGTGATTGAGCTACTTGTAAGTACTTATCCTGCTCTCACACATTCCGTTCGTGATGTTAAACATATATCGAAACTTTCGATTCGAAAGTACATAATTTCCTCAGATTCCAAAAATTTATTTTATTTAATTTAAGTTTTATATATTAAAAGAAAAATTAAGTTATTGGTAAATATTTTAAATAAAACAAATTACATAATAAAATTTCATTTATTCAGAATTCTGAATAAATTAAACTTTCGATCGGAATGGAACATTGTGGTAGGGATATGTGCTTATTAGAATGACTTAAATGTATGGCAAATGGGGTTTTAAAGTCATATAATGTAATGTAATAATGTAATATTTATAAAATAAATCTATACAAAATAGTTGAGTTTTTTTTTATTTCTTTACTTTAAACATGCATAATATTTTAAATGAGATATCATTTTCAGTACCTATTATAAGGCATTCGACTGGCATTTCTGTCCGGAAACATATCACGCAATGTCAATATTTATCTCAAGTTTTTCCGATTTTGCCATTTAAAGTTTAATATCTCGAAATCCAAACCTATTTGTTATGTGTTTTCATGTGCAATATTAATGAAACCTTTTGTACAAATGCTTTACCACACTTCGTACATTCATGTGGTTTTTCTCCAGTATGCAGCAATTCGTGTTTTTTCAAATTGTCACCCTTGCCAAATGTTTTATCGCAATAATGGCAAGAAAATCGTCTTATACCCTGATGTACAACATTAATATCAACACGACGATTGGTTGATCTATAAAATATCATGGAGCAGTGAGGGCAGGGATATGGTCGTTCCTTGGAATGATAGTTCATGTGATTTCTTAATTCTTTTTTAGTCGTTTTTTTAGCTCCGCAATGTGGGCACTCGAAATTTATGTTCATCGAAGGCTGTTTGTTTAGCAAACGCCTTATCACATTCGGCACATTGAAACGGATAGAGTTCTTTGGGTCCGTGAGTATATAGATGTTCCTTAAAGATTTGCATTTTCGCGTAGGTTTTGCCACATTCTTCACAAACGTGGCGTTTAGACGTTTGCTGCGATATGTGAAACTCTCTATAGTGATTCTTATAGCTGCGGTAACTTGAAAATTGATTACCGCATTCCTTATATTCGCAAATGATGTTTAATTTTGTTTCATTGTGTAGTTCATAGAGGTGTTTAAGCATGAACGTAGATTTGTCAAAAGACTCTTCACATTTAGGGCACTTATATGGTTTTAAACCATAGTGGATACGCATATGAATGTCCAGAGTTTGCTGGCTCATACATAAACATTCGCACTCTTTACAACGAAATATATATTTATACTTTTGTCTTTTTACCTTGGTCACTTCTGAATAATTTTTAGTTGAGTGACTACTCCCAAAATCACTTTGGTCATCAGATTTCTCATAATAATCTTCAATATTCGAGTTATCTTCTAAATCATTACTTTCTTCTATGCTCTTTAAACTTTCACAACTTATTAAAGGCTAAGAAAAAAAAAAAAAAAATTAATAACTTTAAGTACGTTTAATAAAAAAAAATTGTATTCTACCTCTTCCATATCTGTAATGTCTAAAGTAGACTCCGTTTTCACTTCAGTTTCAATATTCTTTTGATAACCAGGATCCTCCACCTTTATAGTATTTTCTTCATAAAATTTGAAGTCACCTCTTGCCAATATTTGTTGTAAAGTTTTGGTTGATTGTCTAAACATTTCTTGAAATTCCCAAAATTTATTAAGTTTATTTCTACAAGTCAAACAGATACTATTTGGGTAGAAATCATAAGCGTCGGAATTCTCTATGTTAACATCTTCCAGCCACTGCCGTATTTGCGCACTTAAGCTAAGTATTTTAGACTTTTGTTTTTGGTTTAATTCCTTAAGACATGTTCGACACAAATTTTGCATAGTTTCAGGTGAAACTTTGTCAATGACTTTGGAATTCATTGAGTAGTCTATGGAATTCATTTTGATAATTACCTGGTCCGATCTGTTCACTATAAAAATTTGCTTGTAAATATTACTGTGTGATTGCAACCACAACCAAAAGCAGTGATGCCTGGAGATTTTTTTTAGAAATACCTACGCTTATGAGAAAAAAAATCCCTTTTTCCCCTCACTTTTATTTTCCATTATTCAGATTTATCTTAAAAAATTTAAAAGTCGATTTTTCGACTTTTGTCAATTAATTAATAGTCGACTTTTCAACGTTTAGTATTTTATAAATAGTCGACTTTTTCCGACTTTTTTTTCGAAATTTTTCGACTATTTTTTGACTTTTCGAGTTTTTTCCGTCTATTTTCGTCTTTTTCCGACTATTTTAAGTCTGACTTTTTTCGAATTTTGGACTATTTTTGACCTTTTTTCTACTATTTTCGAGTTTTCGACTTTTTCCGACTATCTTCGACTTTTCCGAATTTTTTTGACTTTTCGATTTTTTCGACTTTTTGACTTTTTTCATAGACGATAGTCGAGTTATAGACTTTTTTGGAACAAAATTGTCGACTTCAACTTTTCGACAAATAGTCGATTGTTCGATTATTCAAAAATCGATTTATAGAATCCTAGTACGTAGTTGTATTTGTAATTTAAATTGAATTGATACATTTGTAATTCTCCAAATTATTTATTTCAGTTTTTTAGACAAATGAGAATTTTTGTAAATTTACTTAGATCTGGCAACCCTATTTTTTTGCCACACAAGTAACGGTTCTTTTTGTAGCGTCCTGTTTCTTTTTGCAGATATATTCATGCAACAGTGACTGAATTAAATAACTTGTGAGGAAAAAATTAATAAATAATATGTAATCAAGTGTAACGATTTACCCCATAAGTAAAAAGTGCATCCTGACTGAAATGAAATTAGTTCGTATGTGTCTCTATTATTATAAATTTATTACAAATTTTTGGTAAGTCGAAAATAAAAATGTTTCTCTGTAATAACTATTAAGTATGTACAATCGAAATTATTTATTATGCGTTTTCATGTGGGATCTTAGCGATACCCTTTGTACAAATCTTTTGCCACACTCCGTGCATGCATGTGGTTTCTCACCCGTATGTAGCAATTCATGATTTTTTAGATTATCACCTTTGCCAAAAGTTTGATCACAAAAACGACAAGTAAATCTCCGAATGCCCTGATGGACAACATCTACATGAATGCGACGATTACTAGACCTATAAAATATCATGGGACAATTGGGACAGGGATATTGACGTTCCTTCGTATGACTGTTCATGTGAGATCTTAATTCTTTTTTTGTGGTTTTCTTTGCACCACAATGATGGCATTCGAAATTCTTAATGCCCGCATGTCTTAGCTTATGCTCGTTGAATGTCCTTTGCTTTACGAAAGCTTTGTCACATTCATCGCATTGATAGGGATAGAGTTCTTTGGGTCCATGAGTGTATTGATGTTCTTTGAAAGTTTGCAGTTTTGTATATATTTTGCCACATTCTTCGCATACGTGTCGGTAAGGAGTTTTGGTCATAGATTTGACTAGTCTTTGATTTGACTCTTGAGTTATATGATTTTGTCGATAGTGGTCCTTGTAGCTGCGACTACTGCTAAATTTTTGCCTACATTCTTCATGTTCACAAATAATAATTAATTCTTTCTCTCCGTGAACTTCACTGAGATGTTTTAGCAAAATTGCAGTTTTATCAAAAGCATCTTCACATTTGGGACATTTGTATGGCTTTAAGCCGTAGTGAGTGCGCATATGAATGTCCAAAGTTTGTTGACTAACACAACGATATTTACATTGATCACAACGAAATGAGTATGAATACCTTTTTCTTTTCGTTTTCGAATTTAACATTTTATTTTTTGTTGCAAGTTTGTTTTTCTTCGTTAATCTATTTTTGTTGTTGAGGTCTTCACTTTGAATATCAGTTTCAGAATCTGTGTGAAATTCCTCACTTTCAATTTGATCATCATCAGAAATTTTGTGTTTATTCAATTCTTCTAAGTCACTATCATCTTCTGAACATCTTTCGATATTTTCAATATTTGGTAATACATTTTTTGTGTCACTGCATATTAAAGGCTAAAAACAAAATATTATTCATAAAGTAGTCATTTAAAAATTCAATTTTCTACCTCATCTGCATATTCGACATCTAAATTGTACTCAGATTTAATAGGACTTTCTTTGCGTGTTATTAACGCATCATATGCTAACATATCTTCCTCGAGTTCTGGGTCATTAACATTATTTGACGTTGGTTTCTTCTCAAATTTAACGTCTTCCTCTTTGGTCAACATTTTTTGTATAGTTTTTCTTGATTGCTTGCACATTTCATGAAAGTCGAGAAATTCTTTAAGTTTATTTCTACACAAGTTACAGATGCAATTTGGATATCCATCAGATGCTAGGGGATTATCTAGTGTAGAGTCTTCCAACCAGCGTCGTATTTGCAAATGCAAACTAAATATTTTACATCTCTGTCTTTGTTTCAATTCTTTAAGACATGCTCGACAGAAACTTTGCACTGTCTTTATTGAAAGATTTTCCATTTCTTTAGAAGTTTGATTGTTTCCTTACAAATTTCTATTTTGTTTATTTGTTTACAATAACAGTGTTTTGAATGAAAAAATGCGACATTAGTGTTATTGTTTATATATCGATTACGTGGTTATTCGGATTTATGAACTAAACAACATAAAATATAAATTCTACTATTACTACTATCTTCATACTACTTGTTCTTCAGTTATTTAAAAAAGTCGTGGGTTTTGAAAAATAAAACCCGATGTAAAAATTTATCCGACGTAATTTAATGGAACAAAAACTGTATCTGTGTATTACAACATTGTCTGATTATGTTTTATCATAACGATAAATTGACATTTTACAAAAATTATTTTAACCGGCAGTATATCCACCTGTTAAACGATAACCGGAGGTTGAGATATTGGCCCTTAGACATTTATTAACACACTTTGGTCACAAAGTATACAGATGTGTGGTTTAAAAAAGACTAAAATCAGATGTTGTCCAGCTTTTGTGAAACTTGTGCATGAAGAGATATACATATACTTATATACATACATAAACTACAGCTAAAAAATAGTGTGAAACTTGTGTTGAAAGAGATAGAAATAGTTTTTTGTTCGTGACTCTTCTGTATACCTTGTGCTTTGGTGGAGGAAATTGCCAACAGTTTTAAAGTAATCGGTTATAAAGTAATCATTTAAAACTCTACATCAATAAATTACTTCTAATCGTGTCGAAAAGAAAAAATAAAAAGAATTTACGATTTAGTTTAAATTTTATTTATAGAAAGTGTATTTTTGAGTGCATTTTGAATATAATTTGTTAAGTTCGATTCAATTGGCTTCATTAGATTCAACACAATGTTGCCCGTCACACGTGCAAATTTGGACCATATTTGTTGCATCTGCCTCCTGGACGTCAGGCCATCAATGTTTACTCAAAAAGTATACGATGTCAAAGAAGAAAAGAACATGTCCAAAATACTTAAACTGACGGCACACATTACCATTTTGAAAAATCCCATAAATCAAAAGTACATTAATGACTACTGTCGTAAAGTGTGTGAAATATGTTTTCTTAAGACGCAATATTCCCACTTTTTTCGGGAAAAAATTATGGCATCTACAGCAGCGGTAAAGGAGTTGCTGGAAGGAACCGAGTTAAATGATCAGGACATCGAAAGGTTGCAGTATTTTTGTCGTATTTGCTTAAATCGACAAAAAACAAAAAGTAATGCAAAATGTTTAAATATGCAACATCTAAAGTGGATAAAGGACTGCAGTGGCATACGTTTCACATCGTTAATAGAAATGGAAAAATTTCGAATAAAGGAGGGCACAAATATCAATGAAATAGCCGAGATCAATGATACAGAATTTCCTCATCAATTATGTGCAAATTGTTTAAAGAAATTAAAAAATGTTGAAGAATTTCGTAAATCGGCCACACAGTCATTTGAGTATATGATCTCAGTTATGGGCGATACAACTGGCCCAGATGAGGACTTAATTATACAAGGAATTAAGCAATTCCGAGAGAATATAATAAGAAAGGAAGTGCCGCAAGCCCAGACGGTTACAGTTAATGAAATGAATACCAAACAAGATTCTGCAATTCTGAAAATTGACGATATCAAAAATGAACAACAAGAGAGCTTTTGCACAGATGTTTTACAAATCCAGATACAAGATGTTGATACTCTTGGTGATTCAAAAGATTTTTCTACTACCTTACAGTTGAAGGAGGATGATGCGTTTGAAGATGTTATGGACTTTACAGGAGATTTACCACACTACTCTGATGCTGGTGACGATGATGCCGACTTTACTTTAGATTTTGGTGTAAATGATGCTTCTTCTGAAGATTACAGTGAAAATGATGATAATACATTTTTCCGAAACACTCGAGCTAATATTTCAAAACAAGTAAGAGATTTGTATACGGCTTGGCCGGACTTTTTTTATCCACCTCCAGAATTTTAAATTTCAAACTTAATTTTAATTTTTATTATGCAATTTTTATGGAGTGTTAAAAATATTTAGTTTTATATTATACCCCGTATTTTATTAAAGTTATTTGTTAATAAAATTTTGATTGTGTTATTTTTATTTGTTATTTAATGATTTAGCATATGAAATGCTAAATGCAATTTAATTTTTTTTTATACAATATTATATTTTTAATATTTTCTAATTAAAATAAATTAAAGTTGGTAACGGTTTAGCCCTTATCAATGATAAATATTCTGCACCACATAGGTACATATTTATATTATTTCTTAAATTTGGTTCTCTTTTATGCTATTAATTGTCTTATTTATGAAAAAAATCATGATACAACCATATTGTTATATTATGATATAAAGGAAAATAACTTTTTTGATGTTAAGTTTCCAACTTCGATATATTTTTATAAAAAAAATAATGAATTTTAAATTAACTTACGACTCAAATGTAGTAAAAATCAAAATAATTTTGCACACTCCATAAAAGATTGTAAAATGCAAATGGAAATATTTACATTAAAAATATTTTATTTTAGTATCATAAAGATAATGAAAACAAATTGTCTAACAAAAAAGAAGAAACTATCGAAAATGAAGAAGATTCAACGAAGCCAAAACGTAAAAAAGGAAAACAATCAGAAAGTCAGGAAAACTTATTCTCTAATATTCTGAAACGTACAAGAAAAGCTAAACAACCAAAGGAAACTGAAACAGCTCAGCATCAAGATAATATTGAAAATGAAGAAAGTTTAACAAAACCAAAACGTCTAAGAAAAGTAAAAAAATCGGAAGATATTAAAAATGAAAGTTCGGCAAAACCAAAACGCCTTAAAAAGGGCAAACAATTATCCGAAGATAACCAAGACTTAATCTCCAATAATGTGAAGCGTACAAGAAAACCGAAACAACCCAAGGACATCGAAGACATAACATCAAAGAATAACAATATGAAATCCGCTGATGGTGACGATGAAAAAAAGGAAAAACTTGAATGCGTAGAATGTTCAAAGGTATTTATTTCTGCCTATACCTATAAAAGGCACTTAAAATGGGTACATTCTCCACAATCGAGTCATAAAACATTTACATGTGAGTTATGTTTAAAAGTATTTCGACGTAAAGACCATTTAAAAGATCATATAAAAACTGTACATGAAAAAGTTAGGGCCTTTAAATGTTCACACTGTGAGAAAACGTTTGCCACGAATGGTTCCAAAAAGGTCCATGAACTTACACATACGAATGAGTATCCTTTCGCATGCGAATGGTGTGGAAAACGTTTTCGTCAAACATGTCGTTTAAAGGTTCACTTAGAGATGCATACAACCCAACCGGAACTTTTATGTCCGATCTGCAAAAGATGCCAGAAGTCTCCGCAAGATTTGGAAGAACATATAAAAAGTCACGATGATAAACGTTTACAGTGTATTTCATGCGGAAAACTATTTAAAAGAGGTTCACATCTTAAAGATCACTACAATGCTGTTCATTTGAAATTAAGGCCCTTTAAATGTGAATTTTGTGACTTGGCGTTTGGTGATAGAAAAACACGACGAGTTCACGAAAGAAGTCATACAGAGGAGCGGCTACTAACATGCAGCGTTTGTAAGCTCGGTTTCAAAGCATTATCTACCTATAACAAACACAAAAAAGAGACTGGTCACGCATCAGAAGAATTTCCGAAAAAAACAAAAACATCTAAGAAGAATCCAGTTCAGTTATTGAGCATCATGCAATATCCCGGAAAATTTAATAGTATTTTTGAACTTTAAGAATTTAATTTAACATTGATTGTACTTCTACATTAATTGTAAAAAAGTATTTAAAATAAACATTCCATTCTTTTAATTAATTTGAAATAAGTTTTATAATTCTATAATTAATATTTTTTTAAACCATGTGTTATTTATTTACAAGTAATGATTTGTCCCGATATAGATTCAACATTTTTTGTATACAATAGTAGTGATGTTGATTTTATGTATTATATCTACTATGTAGTATATTAATGTATACATGAAAGCTTTTAAATTCGTTTCTCAAGATATATAATATACAAAATCAATAATTCTCATTCTAGAATAAAGTTATGTTTAATTTAATGCTTTTTTATATTTAAGTTAAAATGTTTAAATATAAAATGGTCAAATTAATTTCTTGATTGATGTGATTTTTACACCCTCCACGTTAGTGAGAAGTTTGCCATTCTGTTTATAATTTCTACAATGCATTAAGTTTGCACTGGTACAGACAAACTTCGATATAGCGATCTCAAGCGAATCGCAATATACTTCGTTATATGTAGCTACTTATAGCTTGATATAAAGAAATATGAAAAAAATCGTTATAACTATAGTTTTTTATCCAAATTCTAGTTTATTCGAAAATAATAAAAATAAACAATTTACGAATTAAAAAAATAAACACTTATTTTTTGTATATTTTATTAGATTTAGTATTGTATTATTTTAGCTTGTTTCTTTAGTAGTCTCGCAAAAACTCGAACAAGAAAAACTGTCCTTTGAAAATCAGCATTTGAATCACCTTGTGTTTTTTTTGAAACGTTTGTGTTATGGGTTGCCAGACGAAATTTTTGTTATATTTATCCCCATTTGCGACAAAGATTAACAATTACCATGTAGATACATGTTTTATAAATATAATATGTTTAATTTTTTAAATTAATTTCTAACTGTTTCTGGCCCGTTTCCGTTTCGAACTCTTTTAATGAGAAACTCGGTTAAAATAAACTGATGATATTTTATATATGATAATTTGGAAAAAATTCCTTATAAAACAGGGTCCGTAACTGTATAAAAATCACAAAATAAGTGTTATTTTTTTACAAGCAGAAATAAAAAATGAAATTTAATTTAAATAATAAATTTTATTTTTGTTCGAAAAATCCAAAATTAAGCACAGGTCTAGGTTAATATTTGTAGAAACAATTTCTTTAAATAATGAAAAATTATAAAAAATATATATATTAGGGATATATCGAGATATCCCAAAAAGCGGCTTTGCTAAAAGATATCTCTTTATAGTAGATTTTATTATGTAATATCTTTGCATTGGGTTTTCATAACATTCCTCTTAAATATTTTAGGGGATTAAAGGGATTTACAATAATCTTTATTTTGAAGGGAAATGTTTCGTTGTGTACGGCATCACTAACGTGCACAGCTGTAGTATGTGGTATCGATATTTATTTTTTCATCATTATTCCCTGTTTTTCCGAGTGCTATTGTTAATGAAAATGTAAAAAAGATTTAATGTTATATTCCTTAAAACTGTGTAAATCTTAAAAAAAATATATTTAAATTATGGAAAGTGAAAAAATGTTAATGGCAGCTGGTGTAACAGTTGCAGCAGTTGTAGGGGCTTTTGTATTTTGGGGACCTTCTGGTAAGTTGGATGACAAACCGACCACAATACCATTGTGACCTCCCACCGCTAGAATAGTGTAATAAGAGTAGTTGTGGTAGATGTCGTCTGCAAGAGTAAAATACTAAATTCTACACTTTTTAAGGTAATTCACGGTTACGCCAACGTCGTGGTCAAATAGCTGGTCTTCATAATTTTGGTCAGACATGTTTTCTTAATACGCTGCTGCAGGCGTTAGCAGCATGTCCGCAGTTTATTGCATGGCTGCAATTGTATAACAATGCGACCCCAGATCGGAAAAGTTTAATAAGTTCTTTGCTCAGTACGTTGGAGGTAATAAACGGTACCCATACCAGTTTAAGGGGCGATCCGTATTCACCGGGTGCAGTACTGCGAGCATTAAACGCATTGGGTTGGGTCATACCACAGGAAGAACATGACGCTCATGAATTGTTTCATGTAATGCTTTCGACATTAGAGGAGGAAGCACATCGTCCTAAACAAGTGGGTTCTTTATCGGATGCTTTGCCATTGGATAATGGCGTTGGTGAACAACCCAATCGACCTTCTAGTGCCATGATGAGTGACTTTCTGAATGCTGATTATGACGAGGCCACTGGTTTATCACGCATGGTTCGTTCTGAGGCCCATACCCCAGATTCGCCTGCCTCGATATGTGATCGAGACTTACATGCCGACCATTTGCAATCTTCATCACCTCCTGAAGCAATGGAATTAGATGGAATGGTTTCTCCTGTTTTGGGTGGTCGTCCCAGTCGTTCGAGAGAAGCTCTAAATAAAAGGTCTTCAGGATCATGTCGTTCCCTAGAACGTTTAACTCGAGGGCCTGGAAAGGTTTCGGTATGTTTGATGATAATTAGGCTACCAATTTGTTCATAATGTTAAAGTATATACATATAACTATTTTAGATTTGGTCAGAGCAAATGCCCACACAAGTACCACATCCTTTTCAAGGTGCTATGGGGACACAAATTGTTTGCAATGGATGTGGATTTAAGGTTAGTTTTTTAGTAAACAATTTTAAAGTATAATGTACATAATAATTTCTTCTTCTTCAAGTCCACCGTTCGCTATGATAAATTTGATAGCATTACACTAAATTTACCACTTCAACGTCGCAGTGGTCTTAGTTTGGGTCATTTGTTAAGTGACTACATTACATCCGAAGATGTCACAGGAGTTAAGTGTGAATCATGCAATGAAACCACCACTCACACTAAATCCTTAACGTTTGCCAAATTACCAGCATGTCTTTGCATACACATTGCACGTACGGTATGGTTGCCCACAGGCCAAGTTTGCAAACGTCAAGATTATGTTCATTTTCCCGAAAGCCTTTCAATGGCGCCATATAGTTTTGTACAGCCTCATTTAAATAGTCAGGTTTGTTGAATTTGATTTATAATTATTTTAATAAAATTATTGGCGGTTCTTTGTTTAGGCTGGCACACCTTGGGGTTCTACAATGTCATTGTTTTCATCTAGTCTGCCCATGAATAATATGGGTGTCGGTGGTGAGTCTTACGGTGCGGGTTTTGGTACAATGTTTCCCCGTAATCTCTATCGTTTATTGGCTGTTGTTGTACATTCTGGCGAAGCAAATTCTGGCCATTTTGTTACTTATAGAAGAGGAGCTTTGCGCAATGCACATCGGTAAATATTTTGAAATATTTTTAGATAAGAACACCTTTGCAAATTATATGTTAATATTACTTTTAGATGGTTCTATACATCTGATACGATAGTTCGTGAAGTTACAATTGATGAAGTTTTGAGCGTACCCGCTTATTTAATATTCTACGATCGTAGCCCTCAAAGGCCTTTGCGTTAAATTCCCCTTTGTTTTCTAGGATCTCTTTAAAGGAAAGACAAACGTGTCTGATAATTTTTTAAGATATTATGTATATTATACTACTACCTAAAAGCTTACAAGGATCAAATGTATTTTGGTGTTAAAACAAGCTAACAAAATTAAAAGCAAGATGCGGAACACCAAAATCTTTAACAAACAAAACCAATAAGAAAATGCATTTTCAATTTTTTTGTATGGTGTTACAAACAAATAAAATACAATTAGAAAAAGATCTACCCGCATAATAAAACTACATACTCGTTATTATTAAGCGTAGTGATCCATTATTATTACTATAAAATATTTATATGTATGTTTTTCTTTTTCGATATTATTACAATTTCTCAGCAAAATAAAAAGTACGTTTAAAATATGTATAAACCGAAGCATTTTTTTATTATTTATTTGAAATATTTAAGGGGATATTATGTTAACAAACGTCTTATAGTCCAATGCATACAGACTGGAAGAAATATTATGATGTTCAGGTAAAACTTTAGAGGCCTGTAGTGGAATTTTTACTGTATTCGGATCAATGCGTTTTTGTCCTTTGATGGGCATCCAACCAGTGGCGGGATTTGTATTAGCCACCATTACACTGCGTATCCCAACATTTAAACCGGTCAATGCTAAAGAATCATCTCTATAGTCGCTGAGCATAATGTCACAAAGACTTAAACCATTGGCCGCTTCTAAGACATATTCGATATCGCGAAAATGTAGTACATAATTCGCTTGTACTAAATCGATGAATTTTTTTGGTTCAGTAGTAAAAGCCTCAGCTAATTCTTCAGGTGAATGTACAAAGTGTTTGTCTTCTGTAACTAGAATTTTGCACGATATAATAACTTATACATATATAGAAGCATAGATCTGTATATACATACACTTTGGATTGAAAACTCTGCCTAAAGCATGCATCATTGTCACCGATTCATCGCGTCCTACGGATTTTAGTGTATTTTGTCCTTTTCTCTTTCTTGAAGTTTTTGATTCTTCTGCTATTTCTATACGTTTGGTTAATAAACCTGGTGCTCCTTTCAAAGAGGAGAAATGCAGATTTATTAGGGCGTTTCTTATATCGCCCTGAGCCGATATAACTATTGAATCAATTATATCTGAGGGTGGGGATTTGTAAATTTCACAATGTGGTGGTGAACGCATGAGGTTACAAAATCTTTTCATGGCTTTTTGCATGATGGTCGAGGCTATTGCATTAAAACTGATGTGATTGATAAGGAACTTTTGTTTAATTTGATCGGTGAAAAGGTTATAACTAATATTTAAACCTCGAGTCTTAGCATCCGTTACTATAAAGATTAAAGGCGATTTCGCATAGTTGGCATAATCTCTGTGAAATAAATATTTATATCATTGAAGAATTTTCTATTAAAGTTACATATTCAAAAAAAATTATATTTTTATGAAAAAAAAACGAAATTTATAAAATATTCAATTTTTTATAGACAATTAAAAAATTAAAAAATTGTAGGTTATCTGCAAAAACTTCCGAAAAAATATTGTACATGCTGTACTTTACATGTTCTTCTTACTTACTCTAATATTTCTTGAAATACTGTAGGATCTCTTAGCAAAAAATTAGGAAAATCTTCCACCATAAGTAAACGTTTATCAGTGGCAATTGTCTCCAACAAAGAACGATACCGCGATGCTTTAAAAAGGAAATTTTTAAATGCATCCACTTGTGAACTAACGAACGATTGTCCATACACTTGATCTCCTAAATTATACACCATTTCCTGATCTACAGGATTTATCCATTCTTGTATGTTTATTTTGTTCTCTTTGGCTAAGATGCGCACAGCTGCTGTTTTTCCACTTCCCGAAGGTCCGGTAAGCAAACAAAGCTGAGCAGGGTTTTTGCGTCTCATGGCCGCGCAATGTTGAAACCATTGTTGTATCTCCTGAACCTTTTTGGGGTGTATGGCCAACTCCTCACTATTCGAGGGCGCAAAGACATCTATCCAGTTTTCATTAGAGATTTGCACGTTAGTCTTGGTTGTTCTCTCCAGAAATGTAGATCCATCATTTTTGCATTCATCTTCAGCATCCAAATCAATAATTTCCTCAGCTGGTTGTATCGTTGTTGATTTTTTCCTGGTAGTCCGTTTTGATGGATTTGATGTATCGTCTTTGGATTTTTTTGGTTTTGGTGAATTATTTTCCAAGTGTGACAGTTGAGAAAACATAGAGTTTACCCAAGTTTTCTGCGGATATATTAATAAAATTTTTATTTTCTTTTTTTATTGAAAATTACACAAACCTTGCGTGTATTCATTTTTATTTATAAATTTGTTTATATTTTCTCTTCGGTTTCTAAATAATTTCAAAAGTTTTGTTTGTTTTTATTCATTTGGAATGTAATGGAATTGAGCCGAATTTAACAAAGTTGCAAGAGTTAATAAAGTTATCTGGAGACTTTTTAAATTTATCGAACCAATAATTTTTGTAGAAAGATGTCTTAAATTGATATAGACTATTTTAACAAAGAAAATATCAAATATAATTGTAGAGTGCAGACATTAAAACGAATGTAAAGGGAAAAAATAATTAATACTTGGAAGAAAAGAAATTTTAAATATATCTGAAATTAAAAGTGACACAAACGGCATCTAATGAATTATTTGAACTGCCCTGTTAAGAAACTGGATGTCCTACGATTTTTAACAACTTTCCTACACAGTTCTGTGAGAATTTGTTTACTAAGACAAAAAACAACGCAAATTATGCATTTTGTGTTTTTGTTTATATAAATAAATATTTAAATAAAATGGCATCGACAAGTAAAAATATGAAAATGGGATCATTTGCCACTGGAGGTAAGCTAAGTGGTAAGATAGGACCACAAGCTAATAATACGCCACCTTCGCCGGATACTGAAAATAGTAGTGGACTTGTTATTCCAATAATAAAAACAAAAGATTGTGCTAAACAGTTGCCTACATACACGGCTGCATTAAATCGCTCATCTGAAGAGTCTCTAGCGGCCGAAGATCTGGATAATATACAGTTGGAACTAGAAACATTGTTGTCGAGTGTGGCCTTGAGATACAGAGTATTGAAATCCGAATACGAGAGTTTGGATAAGGATGAAAAGAACAAGGATAGAAAAAGTAAAAATGCTCTACAAATTGGCGGCCAGGTGGGTGAGAAACAACCAGCATCCCCGGCAGCTTCCGTAGTTAATAGCGGCAAACGTAAAAGAGATGAAACCTCATTGGTACGCAAACCGAAACACGCTACATTGAAACAAGCAAAAAATCTAAATGCTAAAAATAGTCCACTTGCTCCTCTGACCGACGACAGCATGGACTACACTCCGGGTGTTCATGGTTGCGCCAATAGGGATTTGCAGAAGCCTTTACCTGCAAAGATTGATACACCTAATAAATTTTGGCTGTCTGTGGAGCCCTACTGTATGCCCTTGACAAATGAAGATTTGCGATTATTGAACGATCTCCTTGAGCAATACAATGGACCACTGGTACCACCGATTCCAGAGCTAGGTCCACACTATTCTACGGTATGGGCGACTGAAGATTTAAAGGAAATACAACAAGGCTCTAATACGACTACGAATAATCGCTTGAAGCCTCAAAACAATGGAGCCGCAACAAATATTCTCAAAAAGGCAGAATCTATTGCCGGTGATTGTGTTACGGGGCCTCTTACACAACGCTTAGTTTCGGCATTAATGGAGGAGCAGCTATTGTCCAATACTGCCGACATTGTAGCCGATAATAGCAATAGCAGTAGTGAAAATACCCACTCTTCGGCCCCTCTTAATTTTCGATCCTTTTCGATGTTGCGCAATTGTATTGGCATAGAAAAACGAGTTAAGAAAGAATTAATTGAGCAAGGTATTCTGGATATATCGGATTTTCCCAACAACGACGAGGATGAAATTCATAACGAAATTAAACGTCTAGTAGCGGAACTTTCAACCATTGCAGAATACAATAGTGGTGCATTGCGGCGCCTGCATGATGCTGCTTCAGAGGAAATAAAGAGATTGGATATTAAACGTAAACTAGATCTGATTGATCAGGAAATATTGGAGACCTACAAGCGCACTCTGCAAAATAAAGCAAAACGTAAGCCCTTATCACCTGAGGAGCAACAGGAAATTTATCGTTTAACAGCTGAGCAGAAAAATCTATCCAATCAGTTGGAACGTATGCAGTCAAGTATTTTTCTTAACGAATAGTATTAAATCTCTTTTCTAAATAGCATCATGAGCCAGGAATTCTTCCTTATTTTGGCAGGTGTGGGACAAATTTTTATTTAAAATAATTATACAATTAATTTCAATTCATAAAATTGCTTTGCGAATAAAATGTTTTTAATAAACACTACATACTCTTAATATTTTCTAAATTTATTAAAATATTATGATGTGTTCCACACAAGTACAAACACACTAAACAATACAACTTAAAAAATAATTATAATCTATTTATTTTTATATATTTCGAGAAAAATATATAGTATGACCAGAGAAATCCCATCTACTGAATCACTTAGAACTTCATATCGAATTGAGTCATTTGTTGCACGCAAGTTTTCAAGTCAATTTTATCTTCCTGATGACCTTTCGAGTTGCGATGCTGCTTCAGCGATGTGGCGCATATAAAGCCTTCTCCACAAATGTCACACATATAGGGTCTTTCGCCCGTGTGGCGACGCAAATGTAGAGTTAAGTCGTTCGATTGAATAAATGTTTTCTGGCAAAACGTGCACTCATAGGGACGCTCGCCCGTATGAATGCGGTTGTGAACAGTTAATTTGTATTGTCGAGAAAATGATTTCTCGCAAAACAAACATTTGAAGGGACGTTCTCCAGTATGTGTGCGTTTATGAGCCTGTAAATCCGATGTACGTGGGAAGGCCATTTCACAAAGATCACATTTGAATGGCTTTTCACCTGTGTGTCTTCTCATGTGCACCGTAAGATTTGAATTGTTGGAAAATGAAAGGCCACAAAAAGCACATAAAAATTTCTTTTCCGTTTTTGCTGTAGAATGTTTGCGAACTTTTGATTTTGAAATAGTGGCTGAGGTAAGTGGCAAATCGTTGTGAAATTTTTTGAAATGTGCCTTATAACGATCTTTTCGGTTGTACCTTCGGTGGCAGTCCATACATTCGAATATATTTTTATCGCTTTTGTTGTTGGTTGGTATGGGCTCTGTGGAAGTTACCATCTTAGCAGCCTCCGGTGGTTTGCTCAAATCATTAGAAGTATGAAAAATGGTAATATGGTTTTCAAGATTTTCTTGCCACATGAATTTGAAATTACACTGCTCACATACATACTGTTTTTCTACGTTAAAACATTGCGTGGCTTGATGATAATCTAAAACTTTCTACAAATGTAAAATGGAATAAAAAAACTATAAAACTTGAAACTGAAAAATATTTGATACCTGAGATACTGTTCGAAAAATACAATGTTCACATTTTAATTCCAGAAGCTCATAATTATGCATAGAACGCTGATGTTGAGCTATTTGATATTTTCGTTTAAACGACATACTGCACATGCAACAATTATAGGGGTAAACTATATTCTTGGTGTCTTTACTGTGGCCCACTTCCACTTCATCTTCTACTTCAGTTTCAGAATCCAGTTCTAAGTGCAATTCGAATCCCTTTTGATTTGTAATTGAGTAATTTGATAGGGAATGTTCAGTGGCACATAAATTTTGGGGATTTCTAGCTGAAAAATGTTCTCGTAGGTTCGCCATATTTTCAAATATTAGGCCACATATTTTACATTTAATTGTTTTTTCACCATTTGGCCAACAAGTGGAATGGATTATACTTTCAACAGACTTAACATCGGAAGTGGTCAAACGATGACGGCTCAAATGTTCATTGAGATGTTCAATACTAAAGAATGTTTTCGGGCACAGCAGACAATAATGAACTGCAGCATCAGCGGAATGTTGTGCAATCAAGTGGCGTTTAAGTTCTTTTTGAATAGAGAACTTTTCATGACACAGAAAACATTCATGTCGTCGATTTAAATCGATCTAAAAATGGAAAACCTTTTAATAACCCACATTTTTAAAATTTATTTCAAAATTTTTACAAATAACCTCTTGTCCATGTTCCATTACAATATGAGCCTTCATATTACTTTTCCACATGAAACGCAAGGGACAACGACGACAAAAGTGACGTTTTTTGGAATTTTTACATTGATTTTTATAGTGCAATTGCAGCATATATGATGAAAGAAATCGCCCATTACAATGTCCGCAAATATGGCGGGCTTCCTCCCACTTATGTTCTTTATTCTGATGCTCGAAAATTTTATATTTACGATTAAAACTCAATTGAGGACACAAGTCACATTTGTAAATACGTTTTGGCTTCTCATCATCTTCTTCGTTTTCATCACCATCAGAATCGCTTTCCGTTTCAGAACTATCCAAACTTACTTCACAACCGTTTTCACTTGTTATAGAATAAAAACGTTCCAAGTTATTTTCTGAAGCAATATCAAAACCAATTCGTTTCACTAGTTCCTCTTCTGTCAATGTATCCGCTTCATCGGGATAGAGCTGAGATGAAATAACATCAAATGTTTCAGTTTCTTTCCTTTTATCGAAATTAACGGAATATCGATGTGTTCGTATGTGCGATCTTAGATCTCGTATGCGGTTGTGTTCGGAAAAGCAGATCATACATTTGATGCGTTTACAACCATGAGGTTTTATCAAATGAGGCAGTATGTAGTCGATACCTTTTCCAGGATTTGCGATAGTTGGAATACCTTCCGGGCAATGAATTCTTATGTGAGCCAGCAAATTGTCCTTGCGGTGAAATTTGCGATCGCAGTGCGGACAGGTAAATTTTTTTCCATCGGTGTGAGTCTTTCTGTGACGTACTAAATCCTTGGGCCATATAAATGCTTTATCGCAGTATTCACATTTGAGAGTGCTGGCTCTTTGAGGTTTTGGTTGTTTTTGATTTTTATGCTGCAGAAAAAAAAAATAAAAATAATCTAAACGTAAAAAAACATATTGGTAGAAGAGTATTTCATTTACCTGAATTTCTCTATGCTTCAAGAGATTATTGGGCCATATGAAACGGGCATTACAATAATCACATTGCTGAGCAATTCGACGATGTTCATTCCAGCAATCCCTCATTAAATGTTGTTGTAACAAATCATTACTAACATATTGCTGCGTACAATCCTTACAAGTAAAGGGCAATGGCACATCATTGTGGTGTTCTTGTTGATGCATAAGCAGAAGTTTTCGTTTCTTAAATATTTCTTTACAAAGTTCACATGTATATTCTTTTTTAACATTTTCAACGTCTGACTCTTCTGTATCACTGTCCGAATCTAAAATGTCCAATTCATTCCCGTCCTTATCGATCGCTCGGTAGAAACGACTAATTTGAGATTTGCTGTAGGCATTTTGTATCTCTTGCTGAAGTAGTGCATAATCAATCGATTTCGAACGTTCAAAGCGTTTTATATAAATACTGCCCTTAAAATCAATACCTGTTTTGCCATCGGCATGCAAAGGCATATGTCTGCGCAATTGACGTAACTTAACGAAGGTATGTGCACAAAGACCACAACGAATTATAGTTTTCGCAGATACCATCCTGCCGTCTTTATGTGTCTCTAAATGCTTTTCGTATTTAGACTTTACTTCATATTTACGATCACAAATATTACATACTAGTAAGTCTTTTGTGGCAACCGGTGGAGTCGCTAGTGCTTTCATGGCACAATTGTGATGCTTCATATTTTCAGGCCAAATAAATTTGGCCGGGCACTGAGCACAAAGCAAAACCTTATTTCTATTACGGCAGTGGGTTTGAGAATGTTGTTCATACATTTTTATTGAAATAAACTCCAATTTGCATAAGCCACATTTCAAAGGAATTTCATCATTGCCGTGCATTTCTTTTAAATGAGAGAAAACTTCGTATTTAAATAAAAACTCCTTAGAGCATAAATTGCACTTGTATTTAGTGGAATGATTTTCTGCAGCATCATTCAAATCTTCTGGTTCAGTGTCACTAACTGACATTTCATAGGAATGTTCATTTAACACCGTGTAATACTTGAACCAATTTTTCTCTCGAATGTCTTTGCATATGCTCTCCTTTACGATACCTAAATCAATCATATTTGGAAATAAATGCTGGACAGTCTTATCGCTTAATTCTAAGCTATGAAGAGTATCTATATCACTATGGTTTTCTAAATGCTGCCGAAGTTCTTTAGTTGTTTTAAATGTGGTGTCACACAATTTACACTCAACGAGATGCCAAGCAATAGGTTTGCTATATAAACGATCACCAAATAACCATTCTCTGTGTTTAGTCGGATACACCACTCCGTCCATATGCATGCGCTTAATGTGATGTTGTATTTTATCCTTGCGACTAAAACTTTGCCCGCAAAATTCGCAAGGAAACATTATTTGTCGCAAGTGTATTGAAGCTATATGTCGGCCACAATCTTTTCGCAAGGAAAAAGTCTTTTGACAAATGAGACAGACGAAACGGTCATTGACTTTTTCGATTTTATCATAATACTCTGGGGCTTTTCGACCTTTTCTCTGTTTAACCGGTTCACTAAAATTATGATATTATTAGCTTTTTCTTTTAAATTTCGGCTACATTTTAAACTCACCTGGTGGAGTTGAAGTTATTGACTTTTTCCTTTTTTAATTTTTTTAAAGGCACATAATCACTTTCATCAGACGAAGACGAGCTAAAAAATTATTAAAAATTTATAAATTGCAATATATTAACACTCATATGTATAATGTATATTTACCTGGTTCCATTTCTGTCACCATTGTCGTTGTACTCATCATCTATACTATGATGCCTGTATTATTTAAATTAATGATTAATAAAAAAATATTTTACTTAGCATTAAATCAGTTTAGTGTTCATTGCATTTTTTTAATTTATTTCCAAAGTAAACTTAGCCAGTATCATAATCGGTTACATATTTCAACTTTAAAAATAAATACCTTTTATGCTCTTCTAAATACTTTGAAGCTAAGTTGAATTCATCAGTTTCCTTCAAGGTGTCATGAGCGCCTAAAAAATTAAGATGTTAATCGTCATGTATGTATGTATATATATAAAAGGAGTACCTACCTTCAATTTCAAATTTTGCTTCACTGGCTGGTAATTTGTTTCTTAAACTTGTATTATATGGATCAACGAAATCTTCTTCTAGCTTAACTTCTGGCATATATGGCTCCAGTGGCAAATCAATAGTTGATTCCGCCAAACAGTCAGTAAAATTATCAATCTCTTGGAGTGGATCATTACGATTCGCTAATAATTGGGAGTATTTTTTATTTACATTATGAATCTGAAGGATAAATTCATAGGAACTTTTAAGTTTTCCAGAGCATTTGCAGCACAAAAATTTTGGAAGTAAATCTTCTTCGTTTGTCTAAGGAGAAATGTGTTAATGACTTTTTCGAAAATCGTACTACATTACTAACGTATCCATTACCTCTGTCTGACTAATATCCTTTAACAAATCTCGCCAAGTTTTTTCATTGAAAGCATCGTCTGAGAGTGAGCATACTGTACGTCCTGGATCAAAGCAAGTTCGACATTTGTAGCTAATTCCATTTATTAAACATTCTTTTTTATTATCCCTGGACATTTTACAATTCTTTATACAATTTAATTATAAATATTTTTAATTTTCACTTCTAATTAAATAAATTTTTGCTTTGTATACATTCAGATGCAATTTTATCAGAGATGGAAAGTTCAGTCTATTCTGGGCAATATAGATATGAATGTATTGTTAAAAAAAATACTTTTTATAGATGTGGCTATTATACGTAAAACTAAATCTATGAAGAAATGAATTTTTATTTAACTTGTTTTTTACTACACACAATATATGTACTACTATTTTTAGTTACTAAATTAAATATCCCATTCCTAAAGATTATTGGGGGTTGTTACAATTTTTGGTGTTTTTAAAATGTTAGTGTTACCAGATTAAACAGCAATCTGCAAACAAGGCGTATCGATTATAAGGTGAAGTTATTCCATTTTCATTCATGAATTTTTTATATATTGATCAATTTTTTTTTCACCAAAATTGGAAGTACTTCAATTATGTTATTTGTGGGGAAAATTCTACTTCCTTTTCCTCACTTTTTACAGACATATTTCTGATAGAATAATCAAAAATGTATATTTTGAATTCAAACTGAATGCCCATGACTATTCTGTGTATTGGTCTATTACCTAGTCTGCTGACTAGTCAATTAACTTGTCTACGGACTAGCATGTTTGTCTTGACACGAAGATGAATTGATGCCTTATTTGTAAATTATGTTAGTAATTTGTAATAAAATCTTTATTTATTAACAACACTCAAAGAAATATTGTAGAAGGGAATAACAAATTTTGTCAATAGGGTTCACACTGGGAAAATACTTTGCGGATAAATAGGGACCACATCAACGTTTCCACAATTGCTTACCGTTTTCTGATTGTGTTTATCAGTAATGGATTTAAAAGCAGTTAACTCTGTTAGGGCGTGTTACTTACTACTCAGTTAAACTATGCTTAACTTGTTGTTAGATTAAACTCGGAACAAATTTAGACGGACTTTAACCGATGATTGTTCCAGCGGTTGTAAAGTGTATTCCTTGCTTTATATTGCATAGGTTATATTTTAATTGCAACACAAAATATTTTATTTATTAGAAAAGTAAATTTTTGATAGATACCTATGAAAAATAAATAAATAAAATAAATAAAGAAAGTACAAAATATGAAATATTTTAAAAAGAAAATTTGAAATAAATTTCTATCATCAAAAATTGTTGATAAAATAAAACAAATTTAATAATAAAGTGAGTAAACGTGTTTTTCATTGATAATTTTCAAGTTTATGTGAAACAGTTGTCCAAAATTTACAACACGCAAGGTTGAAAATTTTTTCCACCATACGAAAATGTTTTTCTACCATAGGACTTTGGCACACAGCCTTACTATAATTATATATGTAAATGAGGGTGGCTCTTTTTGTATGGAGAAAAATATGGTACTGATGAAATTGTAATTCGTACCCATGAAACATACTTGGAAATCTTTAAAAATAATGAAATGGCAAATCATGCGCAATGACTAATCTTTAATTTATCATTCTCGATTTTTACATATGAGGTAAATAGAAACGTATTTTAGTACTTATGGATTAAAATTACCAAATATTTTTATACCAAGAATAACTATGAAAGATGAAAAAATCCTTTGATATGGCTCAGCAAATATTGACGTCTGGACAAACACTTTGAAAATTAGTATCTTAAAATTTACTAATTTTTAATTGTTGGGGCTCCCTAATGTACATAAATATGTACATACATATGTATGTACATATATTTTTAATGAAACATTAATTAAATGAAACTATGGTACATGATTTGATCATGATCAATTTAATATCATATCGTAAAATTAGTATAAAAAACATACATAGTAAGTATGTACGACTTTCAAATGATTATTTTTTACTTTCTAAATAATGTCCCTTTGCGATACGGTGTTTCTTCAGATATGCTCCACATGTAAAAGCTTGATCACAAACTCCACACTTGTGCGGTTTAACGCCTGTATGCATACGTAAATGTAAATTGTAATAGTTCCGCTTTCGAAAGGATTTCTTACAAAACGGACACAGGTGAGGACGTTCGCCCGTATGAACGAGGTTGTGTTCATTTAAACGTTGCCTCTTTGAAAAGGCTTTATCACAATGCGTGCATTTGTAGGGACGTTCGTCAGTGTGTTTGCGTATATGTTCAGTTAAATCACTTCTACGAGTAAAGCCCTTTTCACAAAAATCGCACTTGTAGGGTCTTTCTCCGGTGTGAAGTCTTACGTGTATTGTAAGACCTCCATTCGACGCTAAGAAAATACCACAGTAGGGACATTTCCATTTTCCATTTGCACTTGGTGTGGGTTTATCTCTCGTATGAATTTGCGTATGTAGTTCTAAATCGAGCGAGCTCGGAAATTCTTCCGTACAATCCTCAAATTCGCACTGGTAACGACGCTGGACTGCGTGACTTCTGATGTGAATAATTAAAACTTCTCTATGCTTAAATGATTCTTTGCAAAATGTACATTTGTACGGATGTTCGGCACTGTGCAATTGCAGATGTTCTTGTAAGTCGGAATTTCGTGCAAAGACCATTTCGCATTGATCACACTGGAAAGATTTATTGTCGTGCGACGTTGATTGTAAATCATTGTTAGTTACCGACTCTGACTGGCCGACGATTGTTTTGGCCACATTGTTGGATGTGTGAATCAATTTTATATGATTCTCAAGATTCTCTTGCCACATAAATTTAAAGTTACACTGGTTACATTTATATTGTTTTTCAATATTAAAACACTGCATGACTTTATGATAATCTAAGATTTTCTAAAAACAAAATAAAATTAATGTAAATTATTAAAATACATACTTATAAACATTTCAGTACCTTTGAGGCAGTTCTAAATATACAACGATCGCATTTTAGCTCCAGCGATTCATAATTGTGCGTGGATCGCTGATGTTGGGTCAGTTGATGCTTTCGCTTAAACGACATACTGCAAATGCTACATTTATAGGGTGGTGGCATTTTTCTATGTGTTACCTCCAAATCATCTTCTTCGTCTGTTTCGGAATCCAGGTTCAGGTGCAACTCGAATCCTTTTTGATTGGTAATTGAATAATTTGCCAATAGATGTTGATTCCCACATAAATTATTGGGATTATTGGGCGAAAAATGCTCTCTTAAACTCACCATAGAGGGAAATAACAGCCCACATTTCTTACACATTATTCTTTTTTCACCGTTTGGCCACCACGTGGAATGTAATATACTTTCAGCTGTCTTGACATCAACGGGTGTTAAATGATGGTCACTCAAGTGATCGTGCAGGTCATCAATACTCTTGAATGTTTGAGGACACAAGAGACAATAATGAAGTTCATTTGCGTCAGAATGTTGTTTGATAACCTGGACCATAGAATGCTAAAGTAAAAGCGTTAAAACGTATTTAGTAATCTTCTGAAATTTCTTTACCAAAATTACAAATATGTTTCACCTGTATTTCTCTATGTATCTGCAGATTATTTGGCCATATAAAACGATTATTACAATGCTCACATTGTTGAGCTATGCGTCGGTGTTCATTCCAACAAACCCTTTTTAAATGTTGTTGCAATAAATCATGACTAACAAATTGCTGTTTGCAGTCCTTACACACAAAAGGTAGCGTCAGATCATTGTGTAGTTCTAGTTGATGTTTTAATAAAAGCTGTCGTCTTTCGAACATTTCTTTGCAGAGTTCACACACGTATTCCTTTCCTTCCGTATTAGTATCTGAATCTGAATCGGACATGTCTAGTTCATTGCCATACTTATCTATGACTTGATAAAAACAACTAATTTGAGATTTAGTATAGGCATTTTGTATCTCTTGTTCCAGTAATGCTTTATCAATTGTTATCGATGGGTAGAAATTTCTTACATAAATACAGTTTTCGAAATCAATACCAGTTTTACCATCGGCATGTAATGGCATGTGTTCGCGTAAATGTGGAAGTTTCTTAAAGGATTCAGGACAAAGACCACAACGTATTATAGGTTTTGTAAATCTATGAACAGGCAGCTTCTTATTGCTGTTGACACAGCAGTTGTGATTTTTTATGTTTTCTGGCCAAACAAATTTGGCTGGACAACGAGCACAGAGTAAATCTTTATATTTGTTATGGCAATGAGTTTGTGTGTGTTGTGTAAACATTTTGATGGATATGAATGGCAAATTACACTTGTCACATTTTAAAGCAATTTCATTCTTGTAATGAAAGTTTTTTAAATGCTGGAATACTTCGTATTTATACGAAAAGTCGCATAAAGCACACATAGAACACTTGTATTTACCGGCTCGTTCTGCAATTTGTTCTTCTCCTTCTAGATCCTCTACCTCAGTGTCACTTAGGGACATTTCATAAAAATGTTCATTTAGCACTGTGTAATATTTAAACCAATCTTTCTTACGAATATCATTACATATTGTTTGTTTAACGACGTTTAAATCATTCATATTTGGAAAGAAATGTTGGACAATACTATCGCTTAATTCCAAATCTTGGAGAGTGTCTATAACGCTGTGGCTCTCCAAGTGGTGGCGTAGATCTTTACTTGTTTGAAATGTTTCAGAACACAATTTACATTCCACATGAAGTCTAGCGGTCGGCTTGCTGTATAAACGTTTGGCAAATATGTGTTCTACATTTTTAATAGTTGACCAGGTCGATTTAATACGTTTGACAGAGTGTAAGCGTGTAATATGCTTTTGTAAATTGTCTTCACTCATGTAATATTGTCCACATAATTTGCAAGGAAAATATGTCATTTTATAATTATCGCCAGAATGTGAACGCACAATGTGCTTTTTTAATTTGTCTTCACACTTTAAATTCTGTCCACAAAATGAGCAAATGTAAAAGATCTGCTGAGGATGTAGAGTTTTTATATGTCTTCGACAATTTCTCAGTAAGGTAAATGTTTTCTGACATATGCGACATAGGAAGCCATGGTTGATAATTTCGATTTTATCATTATCTAAGAACTTTTTTATTGTGGTTTCTTCGCTCTCTTGATGTCTATGTGTAAATTAAATGATTATTTATAGGTATTTCTTATTTTTTCTAAAAATAGTTAGATCTTTAATATACAGTACCTTTCATCATTATCACTGCTGTTTTTCTCCATCTCGTTCAAAGGATTGTAATTACTTTCACTAAATGACACGTTGCTAAAATTAAATTCTTATTTTATTTTTTATTAACACAATACATAATTAGTTTTATTTTACCTGGACACATTTGCGTAATCATAGTCATTTTGGTAATCTTCAAAATGTTCACTTAAGATTCTATTTTTAAAGAAAATAATAAAAATATTATTTTAATAAAAAAATATGTAAATTTATTCTTAGATAGCCCAATAAACCAAGTTTTGAACATATGACCCTCGAAATTAAGAAATGGAATTAATGTACGTTTAAAAACATAAATATTATTATCTTTATAGTTTATTATCTATAGTATAGCCTATAATCTAGTCTATAGTTTACTTTACAGTCTAGTCAATAGACCAGTGATTAGATCAGTCAACAGTCTACTCTATATTCTAATTCATAATCTATTGTCTAGTTTATAGTCTAGTTTTTTCAGTTTATAGTCTAGTCTTTTGGCTAGTATGTAGTTTAGTATACAGTCTAGTCTATAGCCTAATGTATAGTATGGTTTATAGTTTAGTAAATAGTTAAATCTATACAAAAATATTCCCAACACTTTTCTTGTGAAATTAGGTAAATTGTTGTTTTTTTTTTTTTAATTTACATAGATACTTTTATTTATTAATGCAATTTACGCAAATAAATATTTACTAAAGATACATGTACTTAATTATATAAAATGTAAATAAACAAAAAAATAAAAAATAAATTACTTTAAGAAATGGGAGGAGGGAATGTTCTTAACTATAATTTTTTAACACACACATTGAAATATCGTAGAGGATATCGTTTTTTATTCAAACGTGTTTAATTTTTGTAAGAACACATCAACTTTATATGTTGTATTTAAACATAAAATCTAAATATGTATTAAGCAATCTTATGCGAATCGTACAGGCGAACTCTTAATTATATGGAAATGATTAAAAAATGTTAAATAAGTACATACGCGTTTGCATATGTATACTTTATAAGAGAAGTTTTATTTTCCTTAACATTTTATGGTTTTTAATGTTAATGTACATCTTGTCCGTCTTTATTAAAGGATATTGCAGTATTAAAATTACTTTCGGCAACGGGTCACGACGTCTTTGGCGGTGGTGGCGGACGCTCTTTCGGATGATATTTTCTTTCGTGCATACGTCGTGTTTTACGGTCACCGAAACCTAATTCACAAAATTCACATTTGTATGGACGCAATTTCAAATGAACTGCATTATAATGATCTTTAAGTTGGGAACTTCTTCTGAACAAGTGACCGCAAGAAGGACACTGTAAACGATTATCGTCGTGAGATTTTACATGATCTTCCAAATCTTTTATAGACTTTTGGCTTCTATGACAGATGGGGCATAAGAGTTCTGGTTTGGTTGTATGGATTTCTGAGTGAATCTTCAATTTACTGGGTAGACGGAAACGCTTATCGCACCATTCGCACTCATAGGGGAAAATGTCAGTGTGTGAAAGTTCATGAATACGTTTGGAATGGCCCGATGCAAACGTTTTAGGGCAATGCGAACAATTATAGGGCTTTAATTTTTCGTGTACGACTTTTATGTGTTCAGAAACATAGAATTTATTTTTAAATTCTTTTGAGCATAGCGGACATTTGTGGGTCTCTTGATTCGGTATTGGATGTACTCTTTGGTGGTGTCTTCTAAACTTGTACATATTCTCAAATTCCTTTGAACATTTATCGCAAACAATCGGCTCATTTTTATATTCTTCTGGATGTATTCGTTTTTGATGCCTTTTAAATTTCTGTATATTATCATACGTTTTCGCACATAATTCACAATCAACGGGTCCTTTTATATCCAAATTAATTTTTGGTCTGGGATTTGTTTTATATATTGTTGGATGTACACGCTGTTGATGTCTTTTTAATTTGTAAACAGTAATAAATGTTTTCGAACATGTTTCGCAAACCAGAGGTCCTGCTGCATCATCTGAGGGATGTACTCTTTGTAGATGTCTTTTTAATTTAGACTTGGTAGAATATGCTTTCGTACACAAATCGCAGGCAAATGGCAACGATTCGTCGACTTCACGTTTTTCAGTTTTTTGTGTCGCGTCAGTGTTTAATGTATTTTTGTCAATTTCCTTTGGTTGTTGTTTAGCTTTTCTAGTTAAAACTTTACGATTGGAAAGTGGTTCGTCGTCTTCTTCATCATCATAATCATCCTCATCATCTTCATCTTCTGATTGTTTAACTTTTGCTTTCGCTTTTGTTGGACTGTCTTCCGATTTTACTTCACTAGAATGAAAATTTAAAGTTTTTTTTATAATTTATGAAGCGCGAAAATTTGTGTTTTTATACAAGATATTTACAAATTCGAAATTCTAACTACTTTCCAAACAAACCAAGCAACAATACTAAAAAAACAAACGTTTTGATTTCACTCTAAATTCTGAATAAGACCTAAGTGTTAAAAGTTATAAGAAAGAACTGGAAAAATTGAGACTCTTAGTAAAATCAAAACGTTTGAAATTATTTAGTATTGTAGTTTTAAATATTTAATGATGTGATAATAATATAGATTTGAAAAATATTTTGATTTTAAAATCGAAAATAAAAAAATTGATTCAAAATGGGTTTGAATTTCAAAAACTTTAAATTTTCAAATAATTTAAAATAAAAAAATTGATTCAAAGTGGGTTTGAATTTCAAAAACTTTAAATTTTCAAATAGTTCCATTCAATTTCAATAGATTTTTTGTCATTATACTGTGGTAAGATTTCAGAAGTCCGATAGTAGAAAAATCCACCATACATATTACTACGAAGAATTCACTTAACTATATGCCAAAAGTTTTGTAAAAAAAAATTATTTACATTTTAAGTATTTGCTAAATGTCCGTTGATAATTTATAATTAAAGATGCTTGGTATTGCGATTTATGCAGACATGTATGTACATATGTATGTATTAATGTATAATGTATGTAAGTATGTATGTACTCCTCCTTCCAAGTAACCTTAATTAGAACAACAACTTTAAATAACAAAATATCTCGTTTATAATGAATTCTTAATTAATAATAAAGCATATTTTCTGTTTTATTTTAACTTGATTCTTGTCTTCAAGGATAAAGGAACGCCAACAAACTATTTAATGTGTTTTTACATAACCTTTCAAGAGAGCTACACTCTTTAAACATTTTGAAAAATTAAAATGAAAAAAAAAAATATATCAAATTAAATGTTTGAAATTTACACACCAGAACATAGTTTGCAGGCGCAGCAATCCTTTACTTATTTGAATATTGAAATATTTGGGAAAAGTACAATATTGTTTAAAAAACGAATTTATGACCTTATCGCTTGGTTTGTTGGGCTAATATAAAATAATTTAGTTGAATTGTAAATACATACCTTGTTTCCAATAAGTCAGATGTTGATGCGGCATCATCATTGTAAGTTTCCGTAAAGGGATCATCATCATCATCATCAGTGTCTGATACATTAAAGTTATAATTTTATTTATTATGATAATGTCATAATAAAATGTATATTTACCTTCGTTTTTAAATATAGTTGCTGGTACTTCATCTAACTGGTCGGTGCTAGTTAAAACGACATCATAAGGATTTAATTCTTCCTCTAGTTTAATTTCCGGCAAAAGCTCTTTCATTGGCATATCAATTGTTGATTCTTCCAAACAATCAGTAGAGTTATAAAGTCCATTACAACCTTCCAATAATTTTGAATATTTCTCATTTACATTTTGAATCTGACGTATGAAATCGTAGGTGGTTTGAAGTTTTTCCGAGCATAAACAGCACATTGTATTTGGAAGTAAATTCTCGTCATATGGCTATGGAGAAATATAAAAAGGAAGAATTTTTATAAAATTTTAAACAAAATTTCTATATTTATACAATTTTATATTTTTTTAGGAGAATGTATATTCGGATATGACCGACCATACGATACCCTACACCATTGGATATAAGTAATTATTGGTAGTTTTTTACCTTAATTCCGAAATATTTTATTAATTTGTGGATAATGAACAATATCCCCATATAATATCTCCAGGGTTATTTATGCAGAATTTCATCGTGATACTAGAGTTTATAAGTAAATTATTTAGCCCTATTCTATATTTCAATTATGTTTTCGCATTCAAAAAACAGAATGCTGTACGATGTTGTGTGTTTTGTGTGCATACAATCGTTTTAATAAGTTGTTATTTTAATGACGGAGTGTCGATTCGAAATGCAGAACACCAAAGTTGCCGAACGGAGAAAATTTAGAGAATTGAAATGCAGAATAAGGGTAATAGACTTTCATGTTATTTTCTGAAGAGTATTATGTATGGGGGCTAGGGTGTTTGTAGGACCAATTGGACTACAATGGTGTAGCGTATACAAATATGACTTCGCTAATATTTGTTAAATTTTTTTTCAATTTAAAAAATGTACCTTAATAGGTAAGTAGATTTTGATTATCCTGTCCATACAAAATGCTAACATATTTTTGACACAAGCTGCAGAATAATAATCAAGATACTGGCGTGTTCCAAGGTCTGGAATGGTTTCAGTAAATAAACTAGTTTATTTTTTTAACACCCCTAATTTCTAAACGAAAATGACACGAAAAAATTCGTTTTGAGAGCTATACAAAGGCACATCTTGAATCGCACTATCGATTTTTCTTATTTCTCTAAAGTTGAAACATAACTTTGCCATCATTGAAAATTTTACTCCTATTTAAGTTTTCTTTCAATGTTATCAAAAATTTCCTGAATTGTATTTATTATTTTTTTTAAAATATCATATTTACCTGTGGCGGAGCAATATCCTTTAACAATTCACGCCAAGTTTTCGCGTTGTTGGCTTCATCCCTAAGGGAGTAGATAATTTGTCCTGGATCGAAACAAGTACGACACTTATATTGTATACCATTTATAAAACATTCACTTTTAATCACGTTAGACATTTTGTCCTGTTTTCTTTAATTTTTTGTAAATTAACTTTCTGTCTCCGACCCGATAATTCTTGCAAAATGTTTTACCCACATCAAATTTATCAAGGTGATGTCTATATGACTACAGCAACAACAAAAACGTGTATACTTTTCGTTATAGTAAATAGTTCTGTCAAAATTTGTGTGTTGTTTTTGTTTTCTTATGTTTATTACAACAATAAATACACGTAAATTTGCATTGGTTTGCCACACAAGCCAAAAATAAAAATTGTTTGCTGTTCCACTGACACCACCTTGGAATCTACCATTGAACTAAAAATTTGTGCATTTTAGGGATGTAAAACTGTTGGGTGTTTGGGTTTTCAGCATTTAATACTGTATATTTTGCAAGTAACCATTTGTAATTTCTCTATTTTCAGAGTTGTAATTTTTGAAAACAGAAAATGTGGCACTTTTTTAATTATTATAAAATATGTACAAAATATGCACCAAAATATTAGTTGCTCGGTGTTTAACCGAAAATTGAAATTTACTTTACTAATCAAAGATGTTTGGTGAGCTGGATCAAAGGAGATTTTTATGATTTTTTCCATATTTATTAAGGTATTTTAAAATCTATTAAATATTTGACGAAAAGAACGTAACTACTATTTTTTGTTACTGTTTTATTTTTATTTACATGATTTGATGGGTGTGAACGTACATTTACAAAGAAACTTTACTCCATTTTGATATCATATGAATGGTCTTCGAAAGGCGCTTTTAATGTCATCTCAAACTAAAATATTTGAGAAATATTTAATATTAATTAATAATAAATATCATATAATTTTACTATAATGTTTTTTTCTGCTCATCCAATTAGTATCCCAGCAAAAAGTTACATGACAAAGATGTTGTTCAATCAGAGGTGCAAGTGATGACGAAATGGTTCGATTTAGCTGAAACATGCATGATTTTAACATTAGCGTGTCATTGGAGATCATGTGTTTATGCGGGAATTTCGAATAATCGAACCAATGCAATTTCAATGATTCGAAAACGATGTTTCATTAATTCAAGCTATTTGTTTTGTATGTATTTTTGGAGAATATTTTAAATATTTTTAAGGAAAATATTATAATAAATTAGGGAAAATATATAAAATAATATTAATAATCAAAAATATTTCTAATAACACATAAATTTCATTTCATTAAAATAACAATCTGAATTAATTTTTGAAGTTTCAAAGAATATTTTTAACTGCGGAATAGGTTGAATTTTGGAAGGCATTTAGAATGAGTTGTATTAGCACTGTTATTAAAGAAGTCATGAAACTTGCATTCACTTTGCACTAGTACAAAATTTTTTTGCTGGGTATACAAATAAAGGGCCTATTCGCATCACTGCATAACATCTTATGATTGGTCTGAATGCTGATGAAAATGAGACCAGTATAAAAATATTGAGAAATTTGATCTGTTTAGATTTTGAAATTATATAAAATAAAAAATTAACAAAATTTATTAGGTTTATTTATATATTTATCGGATGCATATTAATGCACATTGTTACGTAAAATTCATTAATTTTTTAATATAGTACATATTAACTTTTTTTAAACATACATGCATATAAAATGTAATATATTCGAGTGATTCTCAAAAAGGATACATTAAAATCTTAATTTTAAAAAGTTCATATCAAAATGTTGTCGCCAATCGCCAGCGTATTTTAAAGTTAATCTTCTTGTGGGTGATGTTTCATTGCAATTTGATGCCGTTTCAGATAGCATCGCAAAACAAAAGCTTTACCGCAAATATCACATCGATGAAGATTTTCGCCAGTATGATTACGCATATGAAGTCTCAAAAAATCGGATTTTCTAAATTTTTTCTGACAAATATTGCATTCGTAAGGACGTTCGCCGGTATGTATACGCATGTGTGCAGATAATTTTGTTCTTTGCGTAAATGCTCTATCGCATTGCGAACATTTATAGGGACGTTCGCCGGTGTGTGTGCGGCGGTGATAAGTCAAATCAGTTTTACGTGTAAAGCCCATTTCGCAAAAATCACACTTGAAGGGCTTCTCACCAGTGTGCGTTCGCATGTGTAACGTAAGACTTGTCTTAGACGACAAGTAAATCCCACAAAAGGGACATAATTTTTTGTCCGTCTTAGAACTGGAAGGTTCGGTGGTTGGATTTGCGCTAGGAGTGATACCGGGCGTTGAAAATAGTTCATTGTGGCCCATAGCTGTACGATGACTATTCAGATAACTAAGAGATACAAAACGTTTATTGCAAATGTCACACGCAAAGGGTTTTTCACCAGTGTGACCACGTAAATGTAGCTTCAAATATTCTGATCTAATAAATGCTTTTGGACAAAGTGTGCACTGAAAAGGACGTTCGCCGGTGTGTACACGCTCGTGTTCTTTTAATTTGCTGTTTCGCCAAAATTTTTTCTCGCAATAGTTACATTTGAAACGACGTTCTCCAGTGTGTGTGCGTTGATGGTCCTGTAGATCGGCTTTGCGTGGAAAGGCCTTTTTGCAAAGATCACATTTGAAAGGTTTCTCACCATTGTGCCGCATTATGTGTACTTTAAGACCAGTGCTATTTACATAGGTCGCCCCACAAATTGTACATAAAAAGTCACTTTCTTTTTTGGCTGTGTGTTGCTTGCTGCCAGCGTTTGAATTGTCCTTGTGGGATACCGACTCTAAATCATTGTTGTGTATTGGCACAAATTCATTCGATATTGTAACATTTGTTGCTTTTATTGAATCTTTTGGAGAATGAAATATTGCCATATGATTATCGAGATTCTCTTGCCACATGAATTTAAAATGACACAGCTCACATTCGTATTGTTTTTCAGCATTGAAGCATTGCGTTGCTTTATGGCAATCTAAAACTTTCTAAAAGGATAAAAAATACTGATTAAATTCCAGTTCATTTCTTATATTCTTCTTATTCTTATAAATAGCAATTTTTGAAATTACAAAATTCAAAAATTGCAATTTCATTTTAGAAATCGTAAATAATATTTCCGAATTTTCCAATTCAATTTCAGAAAATTCCAATAGTATTTCCATACCTCTGACACTGTTTTAAAAATACAACGTTCACATTTCAACTGCAGCAATTCATAATTATGTATAGAACGTTGATGTTGAGCTATTTGATATTTTCGCTTGAACGATTTTGAACACATGGAACATTTATAGGGATATAAAATCGTTTCATCGACCTGCGCTTCCTGTTCAACTTCAGCTTCTGTTTCAGAATCCAGTTCTAAATGCAATTCGAAACCTTTTTGATTTGTAATCGAATAATTTTCCAAAGAATGCTCATTGGCACAGGAATTTTGAGAATTGTTTGGAGAAAAATGTTCTCTTAAATCGGCCATAGTTTCAAAATTTTGATCACATATTTTGCATTTAATGGCTTTCTTACCATTTGGCCACCAGGTGGAATTTACTATACTTTCAACAGTTTTGAGATCGGCTTCAGTTAAACGATGGCGATTTAAATGTAGCTTCACATCTTCAACAGTAAAAAATGTTTTGGGGCACAGCAGACAGTAATGAAGCTGAACATCGCTCTTGGTCATATGTCTCTAAAGGGAAAAGTTTGAAATAGATTAATTACATTATCGGAAGCTATATATATTTCGTTGAATTTACCTGTATTTCTTTGTGTTTCTGTAAATTGTTTGGCCAAATGAAACGTTCTTTACATTGATCACATTGTTGAGCTATTCGTCGGTGCTCGTTCCAGCAAATTCTCTTTAAATGTTGTTGCAATAAATCAAGACTTACATATTGTTCATTACAGTCCTTACATTTGAAGGGTAGTGTCATATTATTATGACGTTCTTTTTGGTGTTTTAATAAAAGTGTTCTTGTATTAAATATTTCTTTACAAAGATCACACATGTGTTGTTTTTTCAAATTTACGCTTTCTTCGTCGTCCTCCGTAAAACTATCTGAATCGGAAATGTCCAGTTCATTGCCGTACTTATCGATGGCCTGGTAAAAGCAACTTATTTGAGATTTACTATAGGCATTTTGTATACGCAGCTGTAGTGGTAACAAATCAAATTTTTTCGTGTTTTCAAAGTATTTCACATAAATACAGTCTTTAAAGTCAATGCCAGTGCTGCCATCGGCATGCAAGGGCATGTGTTGACGCAAATCTTGTAGCTTTTCAAAGGAAAGTGCACAAAGACCGCAACGTATTATAGTTTTTGCTGTTAAGATCTTGGCATTGCTGTGTGTTTCTAAATGCTCCTTATATTTAGTCTTTTCTTCAAATTCAAGATCGCATACATTACATTTTATAAGTTCTGTATTGCCAGTTATGGTGTTCTTTGGTAGTTTCGAAGCACAGTTATGCTTTTTTATACTATCCGGCCAAACAAACTTGGCCGGACAATTGGTGCAACGCAAAACTTTATGTTTGTTACGACAATGTGTTTGTTTGTGGTGTTCATACATTTTTATGGAAATAAATTCCAATTGGCAACGTCTACATTTTAAAGGAATTTCTTCCTCGTTATGAGCCTCTTTCAAATGGGCGAAAACTTGGTATTTATAAGAAAACTCTGCAGCACACAATTCACACTTGTATTTCAAATTTTGCCTTTTAGATTCTTCTTCCAAATCTTCAGCTTCTGTGTCACTAATAGACATTTCATAAAAGTTGTCATTTAACACTGTGTAATATTTAAACCAATTTTTATCTTGTAAATCTTTGCATATGCCCTCCTTGATGGTAATTAAATCTGTCATATTAGGAAACAAATGCTGAATAATGTTACTGTTCAAGTCTAAATTACTTAAAGTATCTATATTTGTGTGATTTTCTAAGTGTTGACGTAGTTCTTTTGTTGCACCAAATGTTGTTTCACATAATTTACACTCTACCAGAGACCAAGCGGCTGGTTTACTATATAAACGATCTCCAAATATCCGTTGTATATGTTTAGTATTTGAATCCAATGTTTCACCTGGATGCATACGTTTAAGATGTACTTGCAAATAATCCTTACACACGAAATGTTGTTCACAAAATCCACATGGAAATACACCGTCTTGTGAGTGTTTTATAATTATATGACGACGACAATTTTTTTGCATTGTAAATGTTTTTTTACATATCAGGCAAACAAAGTGATTTTTGACTTGTATCATTTTATCACTTTCCGATGATTTTTTTCTTTCGGTTTCTTGGCTATAAGAAAAATTAAATTATGTATTATTGATTTTTTTTACCGTTTTCTTTATACATACTTAGTTGATGGCTCAAAATCACTTTCGCTGGAGGAGGAGAATCTGAAATTAAATACATATATTATATGTAGGCATGCATGTAAGTATCATTTTCTGATCCATTAATATAGTTTACTCACATAGATTCTTGCTGTCGAGGATGCACTGCTTTTATATGGCGAAGACAATTTTTTTGACTTAAAAACGATTTATTACATACAACACATATATATTGATCAGATTTTGTTTCTATTAATTCATTTTCTGAATCCAAATCCGTTATATTTCGTTCCATTGTTTGCCTATGTAAAAATATTTTAAAACTAGGATTTGGAGTTTTTTCTCGGAAATAACAAGTACCTTTTAACAGGAACCTTAATCTTCTTCGTACTTTGTTTTTTCTTCCTTTGAGGAACATAATCCACTTCATCGGATGATGAGGAGCTAAATTTAATTCAAATTATAAGTATCCACAGGTTTTTTTATTTGTCTATTTTACCTGTATTCATTTTTGTCATCATTGTCCGAACTTTTACAATTTTGTTCCATTATGTCTCTGTTAATAGAAATTATTTGAAATTAATTGTTATTTTTTGCTTAAAGTAAAGAAATACCTTTGGATTTCTTCAAATTGCAATGACATTGAACTGATAGCATCTTTACATGTTTCAGTAAAAGGATCATGAGCGTCTTAAAGATATACAGATGAAAATATGTTGAGTAGTATTAAGATTAAACTAACTAAAATATTTAAATATATTTTTTAAACCTTACACCACTATAGTGGGGAAGTTTTTATGAATTAGTGCTGATATAAATATGTATGTAACGCATAGAAATATTTAGCTAAGACTGTCCCTCAATGTAAATCCAACATTTTAGATAAACCCATAACTGGTGTAGGAAATCTTATCGTCGACCATGTCTATATTTCTTACTTGTTTATGTTAAATATGTATTTACCTTCATTTTTTAAGGTTTCTTCACCTTCCCCATGCAAATCATAAGGAACAATCTGCTCCTCCTCTAATTTTATTTCAGGAATATAAAGTTCCAATGGCAAAGCTGTTGCTGACTCTGCTAAACAATCGGTAAAATTATCAATTTCACTAACAGTGAAACTCTGCTGTTGAGGATTCTTACAAAATGCCAAAAGTTCAGAATATTTTTTATTAACACTGTGTATCTGAAGTATAAAATCATAGAAACTTATAAGCTTATCCAAACATTTGCAACAAACAGTCCTGGGCAGATGCTCGTCCTCATTAGTCTAGGAAAATACTATTATTTTTTTTTGCTTATGCCGATTTTCCTGGTATTCTTTTTTACCTGTAACTGTGCAATATCTTTCAATAAATCAGCCCAAGTTTTTGAGTTGCTGCATTCATCTGCAAGGGAGTAAACCGATTGTCCCGGATCAAAGCAAGTACGACAGGTGTATTGTATTCCATTTATAAAACAGTCATTTTTAATACTGTTGCTTATTTTTGCCATTTTTGTAATTGAATTTGTTTACTTTTGGTTAATATTTTGTTAACAATCAAGAATTCTGTTCATGAATGAATTTTTCACAAATAAAATAGTGTTGTATAATTACTGGATATTGAGTACTCGATTATCTCTACTAGTTGAGTTAATATAAGGTGATGGCAAGGAGCATCTAATAAGGTAAAGTCATTTCAACAGCTGATTGTTGTTTTATTCATGGAAATTTTAGCTGTCAAACCGCATATAATGCTCTTCCTTACACTAAATATACAAATTATAGTAAATTCGAGCCTTATAATTGATACGCCTTAGGTGTTGGTTAACTTATAAAGTTTGTTTAAACTGCCAAAATATCTTGTGTTTGTGTAGACAAAAAAAAATATAATAAAGATTAAAGCAAACCCCCTTTACCATCCCCTTTTGTTGATGTTGGCACCTTTTATAAATTCCTCTTTCAAGCAAAAAAAAATTAAATCAGTCCGCAGTTCTATAGTTAAAAAAAGTCGACTTATATTTTTGAGAACTCGATTTTTTTACTTTTGTGATTTATGTAAATTCGACTTTTCTATGTTGTATGTATGTATGTATGTATGTATGTATGTATGTATGTATGTATGTATGTATGTATGTATGTATGTATGTATGTATGTATGTATGTATGTATGTATGTATGTATGTATGTATGTATGTATGTATGTATGTATGTATGTATGTATGTATGTATGTACGTTTGTATGTACGTATGTATTTATGTATGTATGTAAGTATGTATTATGTATCCAGCACTTCGGATAGTACCGAACTTTCTATTTACCCTACCACATAGGGTTACATCTATCCATCAACTGCCTAACTATTTTAACATGTGCTTGTCATACGAGGAAGTCAATCTTCACCCCATAGGTTACGAAGAGGCAGACAAGTGGTTTGTAAGTGTCCCCTCTATCGCTTACAAAAGGGACACTAAAATGATTATCGTCACCCTCGTTTACAAAGATTAGAGCCAACCAGGTGTTAGAAGTTAGTGGAAATCACTGTCTTTTGCGGATGCATTGACTCTTTGGGGTACGTACGTACACATGTATTAGGTCCGGTAGAAAAGGAGGAAAATTAGAATAAAATACTATGTAGATGAAATTTTGAAAAACATTTTGGCGAAATTATATCATATTTTCTAAACCCAAATAACCTTTTCATATAACATTGAACTTTCAATTGATATCATCTAAAAAACACCTTTTTATCATTTGACCCAACTCACCATTTATTAACGTCAGGACGTATCTTTGATGATATTTAGCACATACTCTTCTAGCCCCTGAATAGGGATTGTGAGCTCATAATTATGTTAAATGGTCTAGTATCTCAACAAAAATAAGAAAAAATCCCCCCTTCAGAAAACGTCTTGAAGGCCAAAATTCACTTATGAACCTAATAATACGATGAAATTCTGCATAAATAACTTTATTGTATATTTATAAGGATATGGAAATATTTACCCTTACCCCCATATAAACCCTCTTACAGAAATTCACTTTTTTGTCAACAAATTGTCAAAATATTTCGGAATTAAAGCAATAAACAACTTAAAAGTTTTATTATACATACATACTATGTACTTCTCACTGGTGTAGGTTATCATATGGTTGGCCATGACCGAGTATACATTCTTACATGTTTTGTTTCTATATTAACTCTTTAAATTTTCTTTTGTAAATCACAAAACATACCCAATAAACAAAAACCTTTGAAATGATGTAAATGTGTATTTGAAAACCTATTCAAATTTCATACATAGCCTTTGAGAACAAATTTGAAAATTTTTGTTTTCAAATGGAAAATTATGGCCTTCTCAAACAAAAAGGCAGTTAGAAATCAAACGTATTTTTCAAATGTATTTCAAATTTAAAAAAGGCTAGAGGTAAGCTTGAAACTAAAAAAATTTTCAAACGTATTTCAAGTATTCTTTATTATTATTTTCATACATATTTCAAACCCTAATTATAATGCTAACTATTGCAAAATTCATATATTTTTTTACATCACCTGAAAATAAAACATTCATACATTTTTTTTAGCATATTTTTCTTTTATATCTCCGATTATTTCTCCTATATTTAACGTTTTTTCGCTCCCTTGCTGTAGAAAAAATGTTCTGTTTTTATTTTTCTAAAATAATTTATTTTTTGAAAGAAACTTTTCTAAGTTCAATTAAAACAAAACTTTGAAAATTTTATAAATATCACACATTATATTTTTTTAAGCGTTTTTTGAAATTATCATGTTTATTTCAAAGGCTAAACTTTAAAATTTGAAAACAATTTGGAAAATACATTATTTAGTTAAGAAAATTTTCAAAAATATTCACAGATTTGAATCGATGTTTATTGGGTATTAACATACATACATACATACATACATACATACATACATACATACATACATACATACATACATACATACATACATACATATTTATTGTCAATCGAAGGACAATGCAAACTATTTTGTAGCCTAGAATGTTGGTATATCGGTACGAATAAATATGTCCGGTTATGTTACTTATAGTTACTTCCTTTCTCTATAGTGGTTACCAATTTGTAAAGTGTAAATCTTTTAGTATCTTTTTTTGATGCGTTGGATCTTTGTGTGCGTAAAAACGGGAGTGTTATTCCTTCAAAATCTTGGGAAAATAAAAAAAATTATACGAGTCTGCTTTATTTCTTTTAAATAAAAATCCTTTTTTTAATTTTCAGTTAGTTTTTTATTTGTTTATTTTATTTTTAATTTGCGTTGTCTCCATGTTTTTTATTTAGTTTTTTTTTCGTATTTCCATACATTATAATTCTATATTTAATTCAAAATTTTGTTATTTCTTATTAAAATTTTACTATTATTATGTTTTATTCTATTAAAGGATTTTTTGAATTACATAATTGTGTTTATTATTTTTTTTTAGTAATCTAAGCCTAAGTGGCTTTAGCTTTTTATGATATTTTTCTTCCAAAAAATTCGCAATTCTTTTTCTCATTTTTGAGACCTAGAGACAAAAAAATTAATAATTGAGTTTACTTTTAAAACAATAGTTTGTAAATAATAATAGTTACTTTCTTCGCAATAAAATGAAACCAAATATGTCGTTGGATTAAAACTGAACATTTTTCTCAAAGAAAAAATATGTTTTTGGTTGGTCTTGTTGTAAATTAATTTGGAAGTGAATGTGGAAAAAAATATTTTTGTACTTTTTTTGTGTTTTAAACTTTTTTTTACTATTTTTTTCTTGGTTTAAATTTTTTTATTTTTAAGTTTAAAGTAGTTTTAAAATTTTGTTTTATTTTTTTAATATATATATTAATTTGTATATATATTTTCATATATATGTATTGTGAAATGTTAAGCCAACTACACAGATCACATACATATAAACATTTAAAGCTTTGCCATTTTGGGTTTTAAGTTTTTTTCTTATTTTCTTTAAAATTAAATTTTTATGGAGACTTATTGTAAATAACAACATAATAAAGAAACTAAAATAATAATACAAGTAGTACTTACTAGTATAAAAAAAGTTATTTGGATTTAGAAAATATTATATACAATAGTTAGAAAATAAATCTTAAATTTGCAGGATTTGCAGAATTTATTAAATTAGTTCCTCTCAAAAATTGAGAGCAGTTACAAATTTGATTTGAAACAAAACTCCCAAAGTTTTTTACATTCTTCTTTATTTGGAGAATGTGTTTGAAATATTTGAAAGACTGGTAATTTGAAAAGTTTTAAGAGGAAATAATTTTGCAAACCCTGTTTTATTTAAAAATTCTTTAATAATAATAACAATTGAAGAAAACAATTTACATACATTCATTATATAAAAAAACATTTAAAAACTAATTCAATATAATAATTGGTTTCTAAAAATACTCATACACAAATATCATCCAATATTTATAAAAAATAAATATTTATCTACATTATTTTAATTATTTACTTTTGATTATTAAAAACTAATACCGACTATTAAATGTAAAACAAAAATTATTTTAATATCTAAACAATCTCAGTCAAAAACATATATATATTTTAAAACTTAAAAAACGAAAACAAAAACAAATTATTGACTCACACAAACTTTTTTTTTTGAATTTTCGTTTAAATTACACTTTAAATTTTATCATTTTAAATGCTGTATATATTATAATTATTAAAATAAATAAATAAAATAATACATAATATAATAATAAATATATTTATATATTTTTTTATTTTTTGTGTTAAATTTACTCAGTCATACATAAAAATGAATTCATCACTTGTTTAATTTATTTATTTTTTTTAATTTAACAAACGAATTTTTGTTTTATTTATTTTTTTGTTTTCTTTTCATTTTTAATATAAAAATTAATTAAAATGTTCTAATTAATTACTAATTAATGTTATAATTAAATGGTTGCTAACATTAACAATTATTGTTTGAACACAAACAGTCCAGTTGGATCCCATTCACTATCATCGTTGGGACCAAAACAATCATCGAAATACCATTCCATGGTTTGGTAGACATGAGATAAAGATTTTAACATTAAATGATCCTCATCAGGATAAACCTGTAAATAGTTTTTAAAATGTAATATTAAAGGTATATAAAGTTAATGTAAACTTGGTTTAAACCATGTTTGACAAAGGGTAGCATTACAAATACTGAACATTAGCGAATGTGTTAAAGTTTCCAGGTCTTTTAGTCATGGAAATACCTCCTTACCTGATGCCTAAACTTAACTTCCTGATCGACTAAAGCTTTCACCAACATAAGCGTATGGTCCTGATGCACAAATGTATCTGCTGTGCCATGTATTAACATTAAATTTCTACCCTTTATATTGCCAGCCTTCATAGTTAAATCAGCCTCTTGAAGCGCCCGCAAATAGTCTCCTTTCAGTGGTATATAACGTTCGGTAAAAAAGGAATCTAGAATTTAAAGAAAAAAATCAAAATAAGCTTTAAATTTCAACTAAAAAGTAAAATAAATCCTACAATGATAACCAAATGATGCTATAGGATTAACAGCTACACCACATTTCAACACCTGCTGGGAATCATCGATTAAAGTCATGGCTGTAGCATAGCCACCATAACCCCAACCATAAGCACAGATACGTGAGGGATCAATAAATTTCAAATTGTCACGCAGGTAACTACAGTAATAAAAAAAAAACAGAAATAAATAAGGATTATTAAAAACGTTCAACATTGTATTGAAATGAATATGGATGTTTGCTGTATCAATGTCTGGTATATGGGAGTACTTACGTTAGTACTGCTAATTGATCCTCTACTTCGACTGTACCAAGTTTGCCATGAACTTGGGTACGAAGCAGTTCACCTTGATAGCCACTACCACGTCCATCAATTTGTGCCACAATAAATGAACGTTGACTACACAGATACCAATTCCAATTCACTTGAAAACGTTCATTAACCAACTGAGAACCGGGCGAAGCGTCACTAAATAAATTGGCAAAATTAAAATAGAATTAGAACTTCTTTTTTGGATAAATATAATTTATATTCTGGGCTTAAATTTAGCTTTTTAATTTTTTAATTATCCAGATTTAAGCTACGTTTAACTCAATAGAGGAAAACTATCACTTACATTTGCAATATCATGGGAAAAGCTACTTCTTCGTCCTCTTTCATGCCGGGAGGTAAATACAGTTTCACCTGGGCATGAAAACCATGACGTATTTCCACATTAAAAGTTCTTATCTGTGGTAAAGCAAATTGCAGCAGACGGTGTCTTAAACTGTCGCCAGCATTTAGAACGATTGTCTTGAGATTAGTTTGGGTATCAACCAAATAAACACTGGGCGACTCAGGACCCAAACATTCCTGTACATAATATGAAAAATCTTTACTAAAATAAACTTTATTGTAGAGACAATTTTTGGGTATTATGTAGACGCATTCCTCTTCATCGTCGTCCACATCTTCGGGATCTTTGGCCGGACGACCACTGTTAAGTTTAAATGTGCTGGGCGTATTATCACACGTCAGACATGTGGGTTGTGATGAGGTGATGTAGGTGCGATTTGTTTTTGTAACGTTCAACTTAAGGCTGATCTTGTAGAGGTGCCTTTCACCAGGTCGCTTCTCAGGAGCAGCCATAAAGTAGACAATTTCATTGGCCTCATCCCAACCAACAATTTCGGTCACTTCAAATCGTCCCATTGTCAGGGGCACCGGTCTACGATCCACCGATGAAATAAAAACCACATGTCGAAAATGGCCATGTTCACCATCTCGTACCGGAAGACGTTTGAGTAAATAACCACCATTGGGTATTTCATAAGTTGTTTGACCATTCGTTATATTCTGGAAGCTTTCATTGATATTTGTATTATTCGATTGATTTTTCAATTGATTATTTAGTTTGGCCGAAAATACGGGTCGTTCTGCGGGCAACACCCAACCATCATTTACGGTTACCTCGGTGTGTGCGATGTTGCAAAGAAATTCGGGAGCTCTACAAAGCACCGTATGAGCTTTGGTTTGTGCGCGATTTGTTACCGTTACCGACAAGTCAATAGGTGTGGCCCAAGTGAGACCACCAATATAGCTGCCATTTGCCAGTTCTGGTGGAAGTTTGATTTGTGTGGGGAAAATATATTTGAGGACGGATAGATTAACAACATTAACAGTTATATTGGGATTAGCAGAGCCCGCTTTTGGATAGCGTTGTGTTAGAACAGCTGGATATTTTAAATCATCGCCCATCCAAGTGTATCTGCAAAACAATAACTTTAAGAATATTTTCATATATACATAATTATATCAAAAGAATACTTACTTGTATTCGCTGACATCACTGTCATTAAATGTAAGAAATGCCAAATATAAAGCATCCGGTGAAAATGCCATACTACCGCCACGACTATCCAATTCCGGTACATTTTCATACGTCCAATCAGGTATGCCGTTGTAAACAATGCCAGCTTGACCTGTTAAAATAAAAGTAAAATAATACAATTATACATATTATAGTGGATTATAATATTTGTATTGAGTATAGTAAAAAATAGTTGTAAAATTTTTCTTGATTTTGTTTTTTAAGACCATTGGTAGCTCCATCTCACAGCTATAAGCATTTAAAGTTTAAAAACTTTGACAATTTTTTTATAACATTTGGATAATAGTTATATGATGATAACATTATATAGATAATTTTACAAAATTAAACTTTTTTTGCAAGGAATATAAATATTGAAAATTAAAAAAATATGATTTAATAAGCCTAGTAGATACGCATCGTTTGATGTATATATCATCAAGAAAATCTTCACTATAAGTACCACAATTTGCGAGGAGTCTTAACAAAGAGGACCACAAATACGAGAATTTTTTAAGGATGAAGTATTTATAATAAAGCTTAATTAAGTAGAATATGAGCACGTGTTGCATTTGTAGATGTTTGCAATTTTTTAGGGGAAAACAAAGAGCTGAAAACTAAGTTATAAGCGATTTTAGTTTTATCAGTATCGATTATAAAGGGAAATATAAGTGATCACAAAATAAGCTTATTTTTCAATTTAAACGTGTTTTAACGAAGTATAAGCGACTTTAGTTTTATCAGGATTTCCGACCAAAGTATCGATTTATGAAGGGAAATATAAGTGATCACAAAATAAGCTTATTTTTCAATTTAAACGTGTTTTAACGAAGTTATAAGCGATTTTAGTTTCTTCAAGGTTTTCGACCAAAATATCGATTTTTGAAGGGAAATATAAGTGATCACAAAATAAGCTTATTTTTCAATTTAAACGTGTTTTAACGAAGTTATAAGCTATTTTAGTTTTATAAGGTTTTCGAACAAAACATCGATTTTTGAAGTAAAATATAGGTGACCACAAAATAAGCTTATTTTCCAATTTAAACGTGTTTTAACGAAGTTATAAGCGATTTTAGTTTTATAAGTATTTCTGACCAAAATATCGATTTTTGAAGGGAAATATAAGCGATTTTAGTTTCTTCAAGGTTTTCGACCAAATTATCGATTTATGAAGGGAAATATAAGTGATCACAAAATAAGCTTATTTTTCAATTTAAACGTGTTTTAACGAAGTTATAAGCGATTTTAGTTTCTTCAAGGTTTTCGACCAAAATATCGATTTTTGAAGGGAAATATAAGTGATCACAAAATAACCTTATTTTCCAATTTAAACGTGTTTTAACGAAGTTATAAGCGATTTTAGTTTTATGAGTATTTCCGACCAAAATATCGATTTTTGAAGGGAAATATAAGTGATCAAAAAATAAGCTTATTTTTCAATTTAAACGTGTTTAACGAAGTTATAAGTGATTTTAGTTTTATAAGGTTTTCGACCAAAATATCGATTTTTGAAGGGAAATATAAGTGATCACAAAATAAGCTTATTTTTCAATTTAAACGTGTTTTAACGAAGTTATAAGCGATTTTAGTTTCTTCAAGGTTTTCGACCAAATTATCGATTTATAAAGGGAAATATAAGTGATCACAAAATAAGCCTATTTTTCAATTTAAACGTGTTTTAACGAAGTTATAAGCGATTTTAGTTTCTTCAAGGTTTTCGACCAAAATATCGATTTTTGAAGGGAAATATAAGTGATCACAAAATAAGCTTATTTTTCAATTTAAACGTGTTTTAACGAAGTTTAAGCGATTTTAGTTTCTTCAAGGTTTCCGACCAAAATATCGATTTTTGAAGGGAAATATAAGTGATCACAAAATAAGCTTATTTTTCAATTTAAACGTGTTTTATCGAAGTTATAAGCGATTTTAGTTTCTTCAAGGTTTTCGACCAAATTATCGATTTATGAAGGGAAATATAAGTGATCACAAAATAAGCTTATTTTTCAATTTAAACGTGTTTTAACGAAGTTATAAGCGATTTCAGTTTTATAAGTATTTCCGACCAAAATATCGATTTTTGAAGGGAAATATAAGTGATCACAAAATAAGCTTATTTTTTAATTTAAACGTGTTTTAACGAAGTTATAAGCGATTTTAGTTTTATAAGGTTTTCGACCAAAATATTTTTATAAGGTTTTCGACCAAAATATTTTTATAAGGTTTTCGACCAAAATATTTTTGAAGGGAAATATAAGTGATCACAAAATAAGCTTATTTTTCAATTTAAACGTGTTTTAACGAAGTTATAAGCTATTTTAGTTTTATAAGGTTTTCGAACAAAACATCGATTTTTGAAATAAAATATAGGTGACCACAACAGAAGCTTATTTTCCAATTTAAACGTGTTTTAACGAAGTTATAAGCGATTTTAGTTTTATAAGTATTTCCGACCAAAATATCGATTTTTGAAGGGAAATATAAGTGATCAAAAAATAAGCTTATTTTTCAATTTAAACGTGTTTTAACGAAGTTATAAGTGATTTTAGTTTTATAAGGTTTTCGACCAAAATATCGATTTTTGAAGGGAAATATAAGTGATCACAAAATAAGCTTATTTTTCAATTTAAACGTGTTTTAACGAAGTTATAAGCGATTTTAGTTTCTTCAAGGTTTTCGACCAAAATATCGATTTTTGAAGGGAAATATAAGTGATCACAAAATAAGCTTATTTTTCAATTTAAACGTGTTTTAACGAAGTTATAAGCTATTTTAGTTTTATAAGGTTTTCGAACAAAACATCGATTTTTGAAGTAAAATATAGGTGACCACAAAATAAGCTTATTTTCCAATTTAAACGTGTTTTAACGAAGTTATAAGCGATTTTAGTTTTATAAGTATTTCTGACCAAAATATCGATTTTTGAAGGGAAATATAAGCGATTTTAGTTTCTTCAAGGTTTTCGACCAAATTATCGATTTATGAAGGGAAATATAAGTGATCACAAAATAAGCTTATTTTTCAATTTAAACGTGTTTTAACGAAGTTATAAGCGATTTTAGTTTCTTCAAGGTTTTCGACCAAAATATCGATTTTTGAAGGGAAATATAAGTGATCACAAAATAACCTTATTTTCCAATTTATACGTGTTTTAACGAAGTTATAAGCGATTTTAGTTTTATGAGTATTTCCGACCAAAATATCGATTTTTGAAGGGAAATATAAGTGATCAAAAAATAAGCTTATTTTTCAATTTAAACATGTTTAACGAAGTTATAAGTGATTTTAGTTTTATAAGGTTTTCGACCAAAATATCGATTTTTGAAGGGAAATATAAGTGATCACAAAATAAGCTTATTTTTCAATTTAAACGTGTTTTAACGAAGTTATAAGCTATTTTAGTTTTATAAGGTTTTCGAACAAAACATCGATTTTTGAAATAAAATATAGGTGACCACAAAAGAAGCTTATTTTCCAATTTAAACGTGTTTTAACGAAGTTATAAGCGATTTTAGTTTTATAAGTATTTCCGACCAAAATATCGATTTTTGAAGGGAAATATAAGTGATCACAAAATAAGCTTATTTTTCAATTTAAACGTGTTTTAACGAAGTTATAAGCGATTTTAGTTTCTTCAAGGTTGTCGACCAAATTATCGATTTATGAAGGGAAATATAAGTGATCACAAAATAAGCTTATTTTTTAATTTAAACGTGTTTTAACGAAGTTATAAGCGATTTTAGTTTCTTCAAGGTTTTCGACCAAATTATCGATTTTTGAAGGGAAATATAAGTGATCACAAAATAAGCTTATTTTTCAATTTAAACGTGTTTTAACGAAGTTATAAGCGATTTTAGTTTCTTCAAGGTTTTCGACCAAATTATCGATTTATGAAGGGAAATATAAGTGATCTCAAAATAAGCTTATTTTTCAATCTAAACGTGTTTTAACGAAGTTATAAGCTATTTTAGTTTTATAAGGTTTTCGACCAGAATATCGATTTTTGAAGTAAAATATAAGTGATCACAAAATAAGCTTATTTTTTAATTTAAACATGTTTTATCGAAGTTTTAAGCTATTTTAGTTTTATAAGGTTTTCCACCAAAATATCGGTTTTTGAAGGGAAATATAAGTGATCACAAAATAAGCTTATTTTTCAATTTAAACGTGTTTTAACGAAGTTTAAGCGATTTTAGTTTCTTCAAGGTTTCCGACCAAAATATCGATTTTTGAAGGGAAATATAAGTGATCACAAAATAAGCTTATTTTTCAAGTTAAACGTGTTTTATCGAAGTTATAAGCGATTTTAGTTTCTTCAAGGTTTTCGACCAAATTATCGATTTATGAAGGGAAATATAAGTGATCACAAAATAAGCTTATTTTTCAATTTAAACGTGTTTTAACGAAGTTATAAGCGATTTCAGTTTTATAAGTATTTCCGACCAAAATATCGATTTTTGAAGGGAAATATAAGTGATCACAAAATAAGCTTATTTTTTAATTTAAACGTGTTTTAACGAAGTTATAAGCGATTTTAGTTTTATAAGGTTTTCGACCAAAATATTTTTATAAGGTTTTCGACCAAAATATTTTTATAAGGTTTTCGACCAAAATATTTTTGAAGGGAAATATAAGTGATCACAAAATAAGCTTATTTTTCAATTTAAACGTGTTTTAACGAAGTTATAAGCTATTTTAGTTTTATAAGGTTTTCGACCAGAATATCGAGTTTTGAAGTAAAATATAAGTGATCACAAAATAAGCTTATTTTTCAATTTAAATGTGTTTTAACGATGTTATAAGCGATTTTAATTTTATAAGTATTTCCGACCAAAATAACGATTTTTGAAGGGAAAAATAAGTGATCACAAAATAAGCTTATTTTTCAATTTAAACGTGTTTTAACGAAGTTATAAGCGATTTTAGCTTCTTCAAGGTTTTCGACCAAATTATCGATTTATGAAAAGAAATATAAGTGATCACAAAATAAGCTTATTTTTCAATTTAAACGTGTTTTAACGAAGTTATAAGCGATTTTAGTTTCCTCAAGGTTTTCGACCAAATTATCGATTTATGAAGGGAAATATAAGTGATCACAAAATAAGCTTATTTTTC